AAACAGGGTGTGGTGGTGTTGGGGGGAGGGGATCCTGGAGCTGGAGCTACATACCCTTCCCCTCCCCCCAGTCCCCACCGAAGGCTCGGAGGCCACAGATGGACCTCATCTCTGAGCTGAAACGGAAGCAGCAGAAGGAGCCACTCATCTATGAGAGTGACCGCGATGGGGCCATTGAAGACATCATCACAGGTGAGGGCTTGGCCAGGCCTGTCTCCTCCTCCGTCTGTCCTTCTATGCTGTCCTCCACCCACCTCCCACCCTGGGGGTCTGGCTGCCTCACTGCCTCTTTGCTACTTTTTCTGTCTTTTTCCTTTTCCCTTTCTCTCCCCACTCCTCCCCCCTAACCCTCAGTGCTCAAGACGGTGCCCTTCACGGCCCGCACTGGCAAGCGGACATCCAGGCTCCTCTGTGAGGCTAGCCTGGGCGAGGAGATCCCCCTCTAGCCCTCAGGTACCTCCGATGGCCTGGCCTCCGATTCCTGGGGCTGCCCATAGCCCTGGGGGCCCTGGGGGAGGGGGGCGGGAATGAGTGCTGCTGCCCTCTCCTGGAACCCGCATGCTGGGATGCGTTTGAGGGGGTCTGGTAAACATAGACAGGCCCTTCCCACATGTATACCACCTGGTCCCCAGGAGGGTAAGGCGTGTGCCCCGTGCAGACTCCTGAAGGGTAACTGCGTCTGTCTCCTCTCTGCTAGACCTGCGGAACCAGCCCTACATCCGCTCGGACACAGGCCGCCGCAGCGCCCGCCGGAGACCCCCGGGACCTCCCATGCAGGTCACCTCGGACCTCTCGCTGTAGCCCCCATTTCCACAGATGGACTCTGGGGATGGGGAGGGGCAAGACGGGGCTCAAGGAAGGGGGTCCTCAGCTCGGCTGGGCCGGGCAGCCCTTCTGCCGCTGGCCCCAGCCAGGGGCTCACCCAGATGGGCAGGCGCACTCTCATCTTGCTACAGGCGTCAGCATCGCCGGCCCCGCCCCCCAAATGCTGCTCGCAGCACCCTCCCCCCCCCCCCCATAGCCATACTGTACTTAGCCTCAGCGGGAGCCTGGCCGGTAACTTATAAAGTGCAACCTCGCCCCCCCTCCCGCCCCCATCCGGGGACTCTCCACGGACCTTATTTTTATACAAGATTAATAAAGATGTTTGCAAGAGGTCTGCGTCCGCTCCGTGCCCCCCACTGCACAGCAGCCTGTCTCCTGCAGCCAAGGCTTTACTGGTGCAAGTCCTTCACAGCAGGTGTCTGCCAACCGATTGGCTGGCGGAGGGGAAGGGGTGGCTTCGGCACTAGAGTTGGGGGGGGGGGGGCGGGACTAGCGTCGAGGGGTTCCACCAGTCCTGTTCCTAGCTGGGGACCCTGCGGCATCCTTAGCCGCGTCCGTGAGTGCCCTCCGATTGCACCCCAGCCCATCCCGTTTCTAGGACTCCTGCTCCAGCTCTTCTTCGTCTGCTCCTCCCTTCCCAGCTGGTCGAACCCCACCTGCCTGCCCCGCCCCTACTCTCCCGCCCCCCCTGCCCCGCCCCCTCCTTCCCGGGCCTTTGCCTGGGCTGCTTGGCCCCTGGGTAGTCCCCAGCTTGGGGTGGCCGGAGGAGCAGGGCTTGGGAAATCGGATTTAGGAACTCGGGGCCAGGTGTCTGAGAGGAGGGGCTGCGCGGACCTGGGTGGGGAAGCAGGAGGAGGAAAAGGGGGGGCCCGTCCTGAGAGCAGGTCCTGAGAGCAGGTCCTGAGTGAGAGTCCCTCTTCCCCCGGGTCCCAAAGGGGCCCACCCGCTTTGTGAGTCTGCAGCGCATGCCAGCTTGGAGCAGGGAAGGCCGCTGAGCCGCTGGGCTGGCAGCAGAAGGGGAGGCCCTGGTGACCGCGCTGTGCAGCCTGGGCCGCAGGACCTGCCCTGGCAGCCTGGCTCAGCCGCAGAGCCCGCTGCTTCTCCGAGGAGCAGCTTGAAGGAGAGAAGTGGGGCAGCGCCCCAGACACCGCCTCCCCTCCTTCCGTCGCACAGGGGAAACCAAAACTGGACAGGAAGCCACTTGTCTCTGGCCTGGGGCGGGTTGGGGCCCAGGAAACAGGCCCACGGGGCGGCTCTCATGCTGCGCACGTCCACAGGGCTGCTGGGTGGGAGCCGACAGTCTGAAGATATCCTGGAATATGGCGGGCAGGTAGAGGGGCAGGCAGCAACGTGAACCGCACACATAATACAGAGGACAGCGGCTGCTGTGTGTTGGCACTTGTTTAGTGACCATGTCCAAAACTCACGTTCGGACAAGTTTGTATGAAGAACGTTAAAAACTCATGTCCAAGGCCACGGCACCAGCAGGGACAATGCTGGGCTTCGGACCCCGGCGGTCTGGCCCTGGAGCTACAGAGGCTGCAGGAGCCCTGCTGGCACCTGGAAGTAGCAGGCACAGCAAATTATTGATGAATAAAATGATTCTGTTTTGAGGAACCTCGGCCAATATCAAGGCATGATCGTTGGGGGCAACAGGGTCCCCAAATTGTGAAAGGGGTTTCTTTTACCCCAACTCCCACAGCCCCAGGTTCCAGGGGTAGGGGACTTTTTTCCCAATTATTTCTCCCAGTATCCTCCTTCTTCCTTCTTCCATCCTGTTCATTCATCCACCCATCCATCCATCCACTTACCAACCATCCCAATACCTTCCTATCCACCAATTCATCTTACACACACACACACACACACACACACACACACACACACACACACACACACCAGTGGGCTCTGGGGTTGAAGAGATGAGCAAATTAGACTGGCACGGAGAGAAGGGTACAATACAACCACTATTTCTCGCAGTGACCTCAGCCACTGGGCAGGCAACCCCTTGTAGTTCTGCTCTGAGCACCCCCTACTTTTTCTCCCTGCTCCCAGCCAAGGGCCCTCACCTGACAGCTGCCAGGATGTCAATAGTAGGGGGTCCTTGTCTGCAAAGCTGCCTCGGGGAAAGAGGTTGAAAGTCCTTTGCACCTGCTGCAGAGGTGACAGGGCCAGGCAGGCTTATCCCAAACCCAGCGCCCCACTCCCGGCCCTCACCTCTGAGACCCAGCACCCGGGCCTGACGACGCTACGAAACGGGTAGCTGCAAGGCCCTTGAACTCTTTGGCCCCGTGTGAGGCCTGCTCAGCCCCCGTGGCCATGGTTGCTGCTGGCTCCGTCTGGGTCAGCAAGGCAGTGGGCCGCTGCAGCCTCCCCTTCCAGGTCTTGCGTGAGCAGTCTTCTGTGGAGGCCTTGGAGGTGGGAAGAAGACACTCCCCATTGGATGCTGAGACTCCAGGGGACCCAGGACCAGGCCTGTGGGCACACAGCTCCGCCTTCTCCCAGGAAACCCCCTACCAGCCATGTGCACTCACAGTCCTCTAACCAGGGGGCTCGGGCTAGTAGCTTAGAGGAGCAGTGGACCCTGTCCTAGCCCTAGTCACCTGTATGTTCTCTGTGCCCACGGGGGTCTCTTGGTCTTCTGCCCTCTGCTGCCATAAAGGCAGAATCACAGGCTCTAGGCTGGTCTTGCGCCCCAGGCCCGAAGCTCCCAGGATGGCTTTGGGGTGGACTTGAACATCTTTTGGCAGGGGTGGGCTCTCCCTCACCACAGGCCTGCTCCTCTCTGCTGGGGAACCTGTTGCTTTATTCTTTTGGATTTCTGCCTCTCTTAAGGCATCTGAATTCGCAGCTCCACTCTGGCAGCTAATGCAGGAGGCAGAAACCCAGGAGAGAAAGACACAAACCCCAGAGTCCTGAAGTCAGGGCGTGGGGGTGGGTGGGGTCCAGGCCAAGGGGGGGGGGGGGCTGTGGCCTATCTTATCCCAGCTTCCCTTGGAGAGAAGCATCCCCTTCTCCAAACAATGCAAATCCACAAACCACACGGGAAAAAATATTCCAGGAAGATTGGTCCCAGCGGCTGAATGACACCCTGGCCAGCCCCTTCCCAGACACCTCTGCATCTTTTCCTCATCCCTCCTTCCCGTCTCCTGCCCCCTTCTCCTCTGGCCCCCAGCCCGTCCTTAACTGCTGGCCCCTTCCTAATCCCATTCTCCCAGACCTTGGGTACCTCCCTTCCCACCTCCTCTCAAGGTGGGCCAGGCCCCTGAGGATCTGCAAGGCTGGGCTTTCGCTTGGCAGGGAGCCTTGGTCCAGAGTGGGTCGTGGTCCAGGCTGACCAGAGCCCATGTCACGGCACTGCCTCCCCTCTTCTCTCTCTCCCTGACTTCCCTCTTCACACCCGTGTCCATCCCCACACTCAGAATTCCGTTCCCTCATTTGTTGCCATGTCTCTCCTCTTCCAGAACCTTCCCCACATTGCCCACCTTCCCCTAATGTGGGGAGGCTTGTGCATTTGTGCACATATCTAGCACACGTCTGTGCTGATGCGCTTGTGTGCATGGCATGTGTGGAGCGTGCTTCTGTCTTTGTGTGGATGTGTTATGTGAGTGCCCATCTGTATGATGTGCTGGTCAGCTGACAGTGTGTGTGCATATGTGTGTCTGGGTTGCATGCACTATTACACATGGCTCTCCTCTACATTTTGTGGTATCTCTAACTCAAGGCTGTGGGCTCCTGGAGGGCCCGTCCTCCAGCTTCATTATTTCCCCCCTTCTAGCCTCAGGACACCATCTTTCCTCATGGAGAGAAGCAGGAAGAAAGAACTCCCTTCAGAGTCACCTTCTTGCCTGCTCAGTCCCCCCCTCCCACCCGAGACTCTCTCCTCAGATGCCCCCCCATGTGTCCCTGGCTTCAGGCCAAGGGGAAGCCCCATTTTATGATTTAAGGACCTGAAGCCTCAGAGAGGGCACGGAGGCCTCCCCAAGACGAGTCATGAGTCTCTGTTGATGATATGGCGGCTAGGGAGGTGCAGGGGAAGTGGAACTACCTGTGGGGAGTGAGTGGGGACAAACAGGGCTGGTAGAGCCCTCAGGTGGCAGGGGGACCTGGGTAGTTAAAAAATGGTGGTGGCATCCCTCAGAAATCGAGACAAGGACTTCGCAGCCAGGTGAGTTCACTGGTTCCGGAGCTTCTGCAGAAAAAGTCTGAGCCGGGGCCAGCACTGGAGGCTTTATTGGTTTTGTTTAGTCATTTCTCTGGGGGAAGAAGTGGGCAACAGCTTAAAATGGATTTTCAGCATTAATGGAGTCTCTTTCTTGGTTCCCGGCACTGAGCTGCAATGCAAAAGAGAGGGTGTCACTTGGGCTCCAGTGGGAGGGTCAAGGGAGAGGGATGAGCCCAGAGGCCGCTCTGAGGAGGGCCCTAGGGCAAGAGGACCTGCTCCTGCTGCACGCGGATGGGCAGCTGACATTGTACTGTGTCCATGCATCACTAGAAGCAAGGGGTGCTGGGAGGACCCTTTTCCCGCACTGGCCACTCGATGGAAGTGTCCTGGGCCCCGGGCTGGAGCCGTCAGGTTCTTGGCATGGAATTAGCCTGAGCATTTCTGATGAGGGACAGGTCATCGGCCCGCGGGGTGAGAGGCTTCCTAATGCTAGAACGGCTCTTCCCATTTTGAACCCAGGTCCCTGGCGAGCCCTGGAGTGCTCACTCTCCAAGGTTCCCGGGCCTCCTCCAGCCCTGGCCTTGGCACTGCACCCCCCCTTCCTCCACCCAGCCCCCCATTCCACTGGTCCCTGTCCTCCCGAAACTGTGAGGAGCGGGCCCACCCACACATCCTCGAGCAGCCACCCCTTGCGGGGAGCTGCGCCAGCCTCACTTACTCTTTCCTGTCTCCATTCAGTGAAGAGGACCTGGCCGGGGCCTGGATAAACTTGACTTTCCCTTTAAAGGCGGTCCTTCGGGGCTCCGGCTTGCTAAAGTCAAAGTAAGGGTGCAGGGTCTTGTCTTCCTGCTTGGCAGATTCCAGTGGCTCTCCGGCTTCCAGCGACTTCTCAGATGCCCTCTCCTGCAACCCAGAGAGCTTTTCCTGCTCTGGCTCCTCCTTGGCAGGCAGGGTGGTGCTCTCCACCATGGGCACTCTAGAAGGCACCATGGGCACCGTAGAAGGCACCATGGGCACCGTAGAAGGCGCCATGGGCACCGTAGAAGGCGCCATGGGCACTGTAGAAGGCGCCATGGGCACTGTAGAAGGCACCATGGGCACTGTAGAAGGCGCCATGGGCACCATGGGCACCGTAGAAGGCACCATGGGCACCGTAGAAGGCGCCATGGGCACTGTAGAAGGCGCCATGGGCACCGTAGAAGGCGCCATGGGCACTGTAGAAGGCGCCATGGGCACTGTAGAAGGCACCATGGGCACCGTAGAAGGCGCCATGGGCACTGTAGAAGGCACCATGGGCACCGTAGAAGGCGCCATGGGCACCGTAGAAGGCGCCATGGGCACTGTAGAAGGCTCCACGGCCTTCTGGGGTGGAGATTTCATCATGTGCTCCAAACTGGGCAGGTCCCTGTTGCTGGAGGAGGCGATGGCCAGGGAGGATGCGAAGTTGACCAGATCTTGTAAGTTGATAGCTGGTGTGAGACAGGGGTAGGGCAAGTGGGTGTCTGACGGCTGCCGGGTGCCTGGTTCTGAAAGCTCTGCCTGGGTGCTTTCATCCTGGAACTGCTTGACGGGGACCGGCTCTGGGGCTGCCTTCTGGTTCAGGGGGCTGGCGATCTTCTCTGTGCTCTCGCCACGATGCATGCCGGTCTCCAAATCCAGGCTGTGTTCTGAGGCCTGGATATCTTTGTCTGCCCAGAAGAGGTGCTTGGAAGTCTGCACAAAGATGGAGCGATGGGTGGAGTCCACTTGTTCCACATCCGTGATACTCGGGCTTGTGATGGAGTCCTGCTGCGTTAGCGCCCCCTCGAGGGGCTGGGAGGATTCCAGGTCTTCATTGCAGACCTTCAAGCTGGAGTCCTGCTTGGCCTCAGGCTTAAGCATGGGGGCTGGCCAATACTCCCATGGTGGGCAATACTCCAATGGTGGCGGAGTGTTGGCCTCCTGCACCAGTTTTGTGTCTTGTTCCGGGTCCTCTTTAGGTGGGACATTCAAGTGTAGCAATTCATCCTCCTGAAAAGTTTCAACTGAAAGCTGAGGAGGCCCCTGCCCCTCGGCTCCTCCCTTGTACCAATTCCCTGCCCTGCTCCCCCGACCCCAACCCTCATAGACACACACACACACACACACACACACACACACACACACACATTCTGCACACTTCCTCCCCACACCTGTCTCTTTGCAGAGACCTCCTGGGGCAGGGAGGTGGTGTGAGCAAGGTCAATATCGGTTTGGTCCTAGGGTCCCAGAATTGTCAAGGCTAGGGGCTGGTTAGAATTTAGGGAAGATGGGCTTTGTCTACCACCTCTTCAGAAAAGGTGACCCTGCCCACTGTTACCTCTTCCTCATCTTCCTCTTGTGCAGGCGGGAGCTCCTCTTGTGCAGGCGGGAGCTCCTCTTGTGCAGGCGGGAGCTCCTCTTGTGCAGGCTGGGACTCCTCTTGTGCAGGCTGGGACTCCTCTTGTGCAGGCTGGGACTCCTCTTGTGCAGGCTGGAGCTCCTCTTGTGCAGGCTGGGACTCCTCTTGTGCAGGCTGGGACTCCTCTTGTGCAGGCTGGGACTCCTCTTGTGCAGGCTGGGACTCCTCTTGTGCAGGCTGGGACTCCTCTTGTGCAGGCGGGAGCTCCTCATGTGAAGGCTGGAGCTCATGTTGGTTTAAGTCAATCCTAAGACAGAAGGAGACAGAGTGGGTGACAGGGCTTCACGGGGTTGGTGGGATGGCTTTAGCGGGGAGGGGAGCTTTATACAGGGGCTGGCAAGATGTCCCCAGCTAATCCACTCCCTTGGTTGTCCCTACTCCCACCAAGAATTCTGGAGCTGTAGTCTCAAACTTTAGTGAGTTTAGAAAGTGCCTGGAGAGCTTGCCAAGTTGTCCCCCTGGCCCCCCGCAAAGAGGGATCCAATTGGTTGGAGGCGAGGCCCAGGAATCCGCATTCTAATCAAGCATCTATCAGCTGATGCGGCTCACTTGGAGAACCAATGCCCAGGAAGTGGCTCCTCATTGAAGGAAAAGCCCAGGGCACTGCCTTTCCCCAACCTGCTCAGTCCCAGCTCAGCAGATGTGAAGAGCAGAGGTGTGTGTGCGCGCGTAGGGTTCCCTCAGTTTTGTTGGCCATGTGCTGCCATCTTGGCCCCTTGCCTTCAGTGCTCAGCCATATGACCCCCTCTCCTTCCTTAGGAACCTGCCCAACCCCAACTCGGACAGCTCTGTCCTTAGAGCAAGGTGGATCTAAGGGGTCAGGTCCCATCCGCGTCCCTGGGTATGCCCCACTGCCCCTTAGTCCTCCTCCAAGATCAGAGACTGGAGACAGAAGCAGGAGGGGGTGCTACCCACACCCCCGGGCCCTCGCCCCGCCATGGCCTTTTGGCCTGGATACTATCCTTGGGGAGATTTTGAAAACAGATGGAGGGAGATGCTGGGTTGGGAGGGTATATGAAAACTTGGCAGTGGTGGCAAGTGGGGGTAAGGGTTGGTGGTCTTGGAAGGTGGGGGAGCGGTCCTCCGATGATGGGGGACTGGTTCTCACTGTGTTTCCACTATGTCCACCGAATCCTTGCTACAGCAGGGAAATCCATTGGCACCTGGCAGAAAGAAGGTGGTGAGGGGTTCTGGAACAGGGGCTGCTGGTGATGCTTCAGCCATCCTCTCCATCTCTCTCCGTTCCTCACCTTAACCCATTTGCCATTCCCTCTCTCATCTTAACCTTTGTTTCCTCCCTCTTGCTAGCCAGTGTCAGCAGACATGAAGACCTATCCTTCACGTCTGCTCCCCGCCACTTTCCACGCTGGCCCATGCTGGCCCTCCGTAAGGCTGAATGCTAACAGCACTCAGTGCCATTTATTGAGAACTACTAACCCAGGCATTATGTTGAACACTTTCTGGGCTTTATCTCGTTGATTCAACAAAAAGGAGGTTCATTTGCCCAAGGTCCTTCAGCTGATCATTCAGGAAGTTAGCGTGTGAATGCAGATTGGACTCAGGAAACTCAAGTGCCCTGTCTTGCATGCTGTCCTACCCAGGAGCCCGGAATTGTGTGGGGCTCCCCGTCGTGTCCACATGAGCCTTCCTCATCTCTTTCCATTCCTGTCCCTCTGTCCTTTTCTCCACTCTCTTCTGGTCAGGCTTCAGCTCTGCCACTCAGCCTACCGGTCCTCCTACCCCGAAGTCCATCCTCTTTCCCTGGCTCTCACCCCATCACATCCTGGGCTCGTCCACCCCCAACTCTGGGCCCAGGTTCTCAACCCAGGTGATGCTGCCACGGACCTGGTTATTTAGGAGCTCTGATAACCCTACACAGAGACTCCTTGGGGGAGGTCTTCCCACTCAAGTTTTTGGCACATTAGATCCCTCCCTGGAGATTTGTGTCTTTTACTGAAAAAGCTTTTTTTTAATCTCTGGGGGTGGGAGGCACCCCATTCCTTGCTCCCCAGGGTCATGGATAGGGGTTGATGGTGCGGTCATCATGGCAATGGGCAAGCTGGGTTCCCATGAGCCTGGAGTGCGGCAGGAAGTGACAACCCTGGCTCTGGTTGAGAACTGCTCCCAGGGTTATATCAAAAGGATCAGAATGTACTGTGGCCTCTTCCTAGAGATATAGAGGCTGAGGAGGGTCCTTGCTGGCTGGTCCTGGGACTGGGATTTAGGCACTTCTGTGTTCAGCCTGGATCAACTGCGCTAGAAGTCCGCACCACCATGGACAGAATAAGTGGTCTCTTCAGAACCCTTCACACTCCCGTGGCTTCCCCATCTCTCTCATCTTCAACTTCACCTGCCCAAGTGCTGCTCCTCCCAGGCCTCTGACCTCACAGCCTTCCTTGCTTGTTTACAGAGTTTCCCTGGCTATTGAATCAACATCCTGCAATCTTAATCCTCCCATGAACAGCAACTGGATGTGGACAGGAGGAAAAGTGATTATGGTGTGGACCTCATAGCAGCACTGGGGGTTGGAAACAAAAGTCTGAGCTTGACTCAACTTGGGACTTCCGTGACATTCTGTAGGATGCGAAATAATTTCAATTTCTAACTGCCAATTGCTAGTACATAGAAATGTATTGATCTTGCAACTGTCCTAAAATCCTATAAGTTCTAGTTTTATTTTGTAATAGATTCATAGGTTTACTACATAAACAATAGCGTGTGTGACTCAAGACAGTCTTACTTCTTCCTTTCCAATCTAGGTGTCTCTTTATTTCCTTTTCTTGCCTTATCGCACTGAGAACAATCTCCAATACAATGTTGAATAAAGTGGCGAGTGGACATCCTTGCTTTGTTCCTGAGCTTAGGGAGAAAGCATTCAGTATATCACCGCTAAATATGATGTTGGCTGTAATTTTTCTTTCTTTTTTTAAAAAATATATTTTTATAGAAGGGAGAGAGATAGAAACTCAATGATGAGAGAGAATCATTGATTGGCTGCCTCCTGCATGCCCCACACTGGGGATTGAGCCTGCAACCCAGGCATGTGCCCTTGACTGGGATCGAACCTGGGACCCTTCAGTTCACAGGCCGACACTCTATTCACTGAGCCACACCGGCGAGGCTGGCTGTAGTTTTTCTTATAGATGCCTTTTATTGGGTTGACAATGTTACCTTCTATTGCTGGTTTACTTAGTTTTTAGTTAGGAAGGGATGTGGGATTTTGTCTGATGCTTTTTAAAAATTATTTTGTAATTAGTTAACATATTGTTATATATAGCATGTTATATGTTAACATGAATACTGTTATATATTTTCTGTTAATAACTCATTTTATGATGAAATACACTGATTAAAAATTTTAAAAAATTATGCCCTAACCGGTTTGGCTCAGTGGATAGAGCGTCGGCCTGCGGACTGAAGGGTCCCAGGTTCGATTCCAGTCAAGGGCATGTACCTTGGTTGTGGGCACATCCCCAGTAGGAGGTGTGCAGGAGGCAGCTGATTGATGTTTCTCTCTCATGGATGTTTCTAGCTCTCTATCCCTCACCCTTCCTCTCTGTAAAAAGTCAATAAAATATATATTTAAAAAAAATTTTTTTAAATTAATCTTGCATTCCTGGAATAAACCTCATTTCGTCATGATGTATTATCTTTTTGTACACTGTTGAATCTGATTTGTTATTTTTCTTTTTTAGAATTTTCACATATATGTTCATGAGGTGTACTAGTGTGTAATTTTCTTTTCTTGTAATGTCTTTGTCAGGTTTTGATAGTAGAGTAATACTGGCCTCAGAGAATGAGTTGAGAAGTGTTCCTTCTCCAATTTTCTGAGTTTGTGTAAAATTGGTATTATTTCTTCTTTATGTTTGATAGAATTACTGAGGCTGTCAAGAGCAGGATTTCCCCTTCATCTCCACTTTCTACCACTTCTTCACTCACAATCATAACACTTAGATTCACTATCAAATAGTTTTGTTTTGGGACGAACTCAGCTGATCTTCCATTATCAATAGCAATGCTTGCTTTTATCACTACCCAAGGACTTTGTTGTTCATTGTCCTGGTATGGTTTTGTGCAGAGTCTTTATAAAAAAAAAAATAAATGCAATGCCTTTATTCTTCCTGGTGTCTTTAACTTTCATTATAGTGACCTTTACAATTTTTGCCACACTTGGAAAATATCCAGTGTGTCACTGTTGGTCAGGGAAGACGGCAAGTTGGACACATACACTGTGCTTTTACTTGGGGCCAATCCACCTCTCATTTCCTCAGCTGGGGCGGGCCAGGAGTCTGAAGAGCGTGAACGAGCCCTCGGCTCAGCTGGGCTCCAGCCCTGGACTGTCCCTGGCCCTTCGCAGCGGCCTTGGCAACACGGGTACTGGGAAGGGTCAGGTGCGGCAGATGAGAAGGTGCTGCTGCCTGTCCATGGCTCTCCTTCACCCAGAGCTGGAGGTGGCCCAGAGGGGGCTTTTGCTGACCCACATTTTACTTTTAGTCAACTCGTCAGACCCAGGCCTACTTAGCATAAGAATAGCCCCTGGAGGGGGTGTGATAAATGTTGTAGGAGTGACTTAAAATGTCTGCATAAATTTGTTACCCCACAAATTTGGGAAAGGGGATAAGCTGCTCTCTGGTTGTTGGTTGTTGGCACAGTTTATTATTTATTTATGCATTGGTTTTGGGCGCATTTTAAAATGCTGGCCCAGGTATGTTTTCCAGGGAGAGAAGGTCCTGAGGGAAAAGCCCTCATTCCAGTGGGGGCCTGAGCCCCCATGACCAGAAACTGGGGAGACCCAGGGCCCGGAGGGCAAGCATCTTTGCTCCTTGGCACAGAGAAGAGTGCAAAGCACAGAGGAGGTGCTCATGAAACAGTGGTGGCTGCTTTTTCTTCCTGCAGAAGTTCCGAGCACCGGTCAGGGGCAACTAACCACGATTTGAGCGGTTGTCTGCGGTTTGGATAATTCATGAGTCTTTTTCTGGGCACAGGCTACTGTTCCTAGAACCTTTGGGCAAGAACCCTCCGAATGTGCGGCCCTAACCCCAAGGTGTACCTGCTGCCGGTGCACCCGCGGGCGACTGCCCCGCACAGGGCCGAGGCCTCGGAGTTGGGCCGCCCCCGCCCCCGCCCCCCGCCCCCCTCTCCCCCTGAGGATGGCCAGGGCTTTGGCTGGAATCGCCCTTTATACTGTGCACACCCCCTCGCCCGCCTTGAGGAGCAGGGGCAGGAGCGGGGCCAAGACCCTGCCCCCCACTTCCACTTTCCCCGCCCACCGCCCGCGAGCAGTCCCTGCGCACCGCCCAGCCCGCCGCCCGCTCCCACCTGTCATCCCCATGCAGACCGAGTTGGCGGCCAGGGAGGCTCTGGGGGGGGCGGGGAGGGATGGTGGCTGCTGGCCCCTCCGCCTCCACTGTGCTCTTTGGTGGGGGCGGTGGAGATGCTGTGGGCGCCGGTGCCTGTGATGTCGCTGCCTCTGTGACGTCCCGGCGAGTCCCGTGGGCCGGGAACTGCGCTCAGGATTTCCGGCGCGTGGGTTTCCGGCGCGTGGGTGGGAGCGGCCTGAAGGGACGGACTCCGGAGGAGGCCCCACCCGCCCGTTCGGCCTCCGAGCCCGTCTGGGTCTGGGGACCAGGCAGCTCCTGGAGACCAGGCAGCTCCGCGCCTCGCAGCAGGCCCAGGGCAGAGAGGGCTGGGCAGGGGTACGCCTGGGGTCTCCCCGACTGGCCTTTGCACCTGCTCTGGCCCAAGGCCGCTGCCCTCCGTGTACCCAGGAGCCCTCCAAGAACCCATGGAACCTTCGACCTTTACCCCAAGGTGGGCGGGTATGTCCCTGCGCGCAGGTGTGCGCGCGCGCGCACACACACACACACACACACACACCCACTGAAGCTGTGCACGAGTGAGTGTGTGTGTGTGTGTGTGTGTGTGCGCGCGCGCACACACACACACACACACACACTCACTCGTGCACAGCTTCAGTGGGTGTGGAGCCAGATGAGACAAGACACCCTGTGTGCTGGTGGCATCACCCTCAGGCAGGCCCCTGTCCCCTGACCAAGGTCCCACTCTGAGAAGTCACCCCTGCTCACAGGCAGGCCCCAGGAGGTGGCTGGAAGGGCTGGGAGTCCAGGCTCTCCTCCCCCTCCCCACTAAGTTCCCTGGAGCCTGGCCTCAGGGACAGGAGCAGTGGGTGGGGCAGTCTTTGTTCTGGGCCTGCACTATCCATGCCTGGTCAGTGCCCAGGCCTTCTCTTCTCCGCTGTCCTCCCTTCGGCCTGGCAGTGTTTGGCAGGGACTTCCCTGCTGCCACCAGTGGGGCATCTTGCCAAACCAGTCTGATGGGGTAGCTCAGAGGGGGGACTGGAAGCACCCACTGGGAGTGGTGGGAAAGGCAGCCCCACTCAAAGGTTGAAAACCGTCCTTGCCCCATACATAGGGCAGACTTGACAAGATCCCACCATGAAGGCAAAGGGAAGCAGCTGTTAGGATCCGAGTCTTTGCAAGCAGGCGAGAGAATGGAGAGAGCCAGGGCCTGAATCCGTGTCATTACTCCAAACTTTATTGCTCACAGAGTTCCCTGCAACTCGAACCCTGCAGTTCTTCATGTACTGGGGGCCGGGGTCTCTCCCTGGGGAGCAGGATGGCTCCTTGTAGATAGCTGGACAGAGGGCACCTTGGCAAGACTTGGGGACAAGATTTCCGAAGGAGGAATCTCAGGAGATAGATACCCCCTCATCCCCAGGGGCTGAGACTAGCAGGCTCCTCAACTCCCAGTGATTCACAGTTGATTAATGCTACATGAGTCCTGATCAGCTTCCCCCCTGAAAAGGCTGGACTGGGCAATGAAGAGGAATGGGGGGGGGGGGGGGAGAGACTCATCTTAAATCTGGAGGTTTGACGGGATCACATGTGTGGAGACAGGTCAAGACTTGAGTCCCTTCACCCCATCTCCTAGTCTGCTTGTGCTAGTGACCTGCCCTCCTGGAGGGCAGCTGTGAAAGTGCTTTGAGGTCATCAGAGTGCAAAGTGCAGCTGGCAGTGCCCCCGTAACCTGGGGCAGGGCAGGGTCAGTGTGGGCATGATGCCTGAGCTGTGTCTCGGGAAGCTGGTGTGCAAGATGTTGGAAGCCGTGGCTCGGGTAACAGTAGCGCCTACATCTGCTGCTTTCTTTTCTGTCTTTCATCCTTATCCCCAGGCACTTCCTGTCAGGGAGGTCTCATGCCATCGCCCTTCACTTTATGGACGAGGGGATCGAGTGCCAGCTAGTCAGGGCAGTGCTGGGCCTGCAGTCTGGGCCCAGCGCCTGCAGCTCTGGGGAAGGCGTGGCCAGCAGCCACGGGGCACCAACGTGCGGACTGAGGACCACGTCACTGAAACACCTTCTTTGGTCCTTGGCTGAAACTGCGTTTAGCACAGGACCTGCGTTGCAATACCCTGAAGAACGTGGTGCATTCTCCCAGGGAGACTTCCCAGTCAGGCCTTCCTCCCTCCCTCTCTGCCTGAAGAGTGGCCAGGCCAGGCAAGGGGGTCGGAAGGCCCTGTTTACCCAAGGCTGGGCACACCTGCCACCTGGTCCTGTGCTGGACCTGGGTAGGGGTCTTTAGGCACTTGACACCCTCAGACCTGCGTAGAGGCTGAGAGGCTCACCCACCAGCAGGTCCCTCATGGGCCCCAAACTGCTCTCCCCTGACAAGTAGTCACTGATCCAGAGGGCCAGGCCAGCTCGTTTGAACCAGGTCAGAGAAGGCCCTCTCTGTTCCCTGTGGGAAGAGGCCTCTTGACTTCTTTCTCCTCCTCACGTGGGCACAGGGTGTTCTCTCGGTGGGTCAGGCAGGATGCAAGTGGAAATCCTAGGAGGCATTTTGCTGGCGCCCCCTTTGCCCTGGTCCCACTGCTGAGATCCCTGGGAGCTGCCTGAGCCTGGCTCAGCGGCAGCATCGAGCGCCAAGAAGGAAGGCTCCTCTGGCTGAGTGGAGCTGGTGGCGGAGGCTGGGTTAGGGCCTGTTCTCCAGCTGGCCATGCTTGACCCTCCAACTCCAGGCGAAGCTGCCATCTGGGGCCAGGGTACACTGCAGGTCGATGCCCGAGTCTGGCACCTCCATGTCGTAGCGCACAGGTTGCCCATCTTTGGTCACCAAGCTGAAGGCTGCGGCTGGGATCTGGGGCAGAGCAAAGCAGTGGGCCTGAGACACTGGCCTGGGCCTCAGAAGCTACCTAGAAGTATAAAGCTGCCGGTCTCCTCTCCCCCAGCCGTGGGAGCTACCTCCCTCCAGCCAAGCAGTGCACCTGAGGGCACCACCTGCCTTTCACCTGGTCCAAGTGCGGGTCCTGAGAACCCCGCAGTCACTACTGCCGGCCTTGCCCCGAGACCCTGGGGGACATCCAAGGCCAACTATTCTCCACAGGCCATTTCTGCTCATTCAGAAGCCTTCCTCTGCCCCTGAGCGTGTACCTGCCCCTTACCTGGCTGCTGATGCCAGTTGCAATGTCTCCCACCTTGACCCGGTGGAACTCCCGGATGTGTAGGTGTTCACCATTGAGAGACTGTATTTGGACTTTCACACCTACAATGCAAGCAAGGTGACCGTCAGGAAAGTGACTGCTGGCTCCCTGAGGAGCCCTAAGCAGAGGGAAGCAGGCTGGCTGTGAGGAAGCTGCATACATGCTATTTAGTCCGGAGTGGCCCTAAGGTTATACACTTGCTAGGCCATTTTCTGTCAATACCAGAGTTTGCCCTGCACAGTGCAGAGAGCTAAGGGTGGCTTCCATGGGGAAGTAGTACTCCAGCGCACACACAAAGCAGAAAGGAACTGGAAACAAAGATCCCTAAGTTAGACCGCAGGCATCTTAGACTGTAATGTTCCCTGAGCTGAAGAGGCCTCTGGCCAGGCGGTGCAGGCTTGATAACCATGAGTCACACTGGCCTGGCGAGGGCCCGGGACTGTGAGCTGATGAAACCCTTGTTGTATTGAAATCACAACATAACTTATGCAACCAAGCCTGAAAATTAAGTTCTATAATTTCTCTCTGCAATTCTGACTTCAGATCCCAGTGGAGGATCCCAGTAACCTTGTTCAGAGACATTCATTGCTCAGTTTCTTGATTCTAGGCCAAGGTTCTTGACTCTTGACTTCCGAGCTCTATCCACAGCCCACCAGGGGCAACAGTCCCTCTGCCCCAGCAGGAAAGGGCGAGAAGGGTCTTTGCTCTAAACTGACTTAATGGCCAAGTACTTCAAGTTCTGTTTGCCAGGAGCCTTCCTCTCCCTTCGCCATGTGCCAGAGGAAGGGAGACAAAGCCCTCAGGCTCCCTAGTCCCAGGTGGGTCAGGTGCTGGGGCTGCTGAGCAGGTGGGTGCTGTACCATTGAAATAGCTTGGCGTGTCCGTGGGCCGCCCCCGGGCCAGCACCATGTTCCAGCTGGAGCTGCGAGCCTCAGCCTGGCTGCCCCATGAGTGCACGCCGGAACTCAGGGTGTCCCGCGAGCTCTGAGAGGCCTTTGACGGGTTCTGAAACAACAAGCGGGGGGCACAGACTCAGGGTCCTGGGCTCAGGGAACCATCTCTGGCCTTGGTCTGCTTGGGGCAAAAGGGACCCAGGCCCGCCCTGCAGTGAGGAACTGCTCTTGTTCTAGGTTGGTGTATGGCTCCACTGGGCACTTTTGGGGCTCAGTAGGAGGCTGAGGTCATGAGGGGCCCCTGAGCTGGAAGAGGGTGAGGACTTTTTCTATGGGGACCAAGACCCAAGCCTCCTTCCCCACCATCCCCAGTGGCCAAACCATTCCTAATGTCCGGCAGTGCTGGCTGGAGACGGAGGGTCTCACTCTGAGAAACCAAGGCCCCCTGCTCCAGTGAAGACCGCTCCCAGCAGGAAGGGGTGACCGCATCCCGCTCCCTTTCTTTACCCACTACTCGCACACAGCCCGTTCACCAGCTGGACACGAAGCCCCTGCTCTGTGCCCTGTGCCCGGCTCACGGCCGACTCACCTTTTCGCTGTCATCTGACAGGGAAAGGCTGTCGACACTGAGGCACGAGAGGATCTGCTCCTGTTCCTCCAGAGAAAACGGCTGGGACAGGCTGTTCAGAAATAATTCTGCAAAACGAAGCAGGAGGAGGCTGTGAAAGACTGGGAGGGGCCCGGCTGTGCGGCCAGGGGTCTTCCTGCACAGACTGCAGGGGCCGATCCATGGGGAAGGGGCTGGAAAGGGGAGGAAGTCTGGGGACCCAGAGGCCGTACCTATTTCCAGCTGCTGCAGTTCCTGTTCCGGGAAGGTGGCCTTCCGCTCTGGCGAGCTGGGGTTTTTGCTGGGGGCCGGGTCCAGGGAGGACAGAGGCAAGGGTTCCCACATCCCAGACTCCTCCTTGCCCCAGTTCAGGCTTGGGCACTTGTTTCGCTCTGGGGGATCTGGAGGTAGAGGAGGTTGGAGCTTGGGGGCCCCACCTGTGGTGTCCTCGGCTGGCTGGGGCCCCGGGGCCCCTGGGGAGAGCTCCCCGGGCTGGGCTTGCAGGGTCTGGTGAGAGTGGGCTGGGTGTGGTGGCGGATGGCCTTGGAGTGCCGGCGGCAGATGTCTTGGCTCTCTGTACTCTCCCCTCCAAGGGCTCTTCAGACCTCCCACTACAAAACAGAGAGCACACGGGGTGAGGTGGCCACGGGCCAGCACCGAGCAGTGGGGAGGGCTCTGGCCTCGCTGAGGGACACACTTAGGAGGGCAGCGTGCGCTCCAGAGGAGGCCGCTCCCATCGGATGGCCTCCTACAATGGCAAGTGGACAGTATTTCTGTTTTTTTATTCAATTTCTCCCTAGGTCACAGCAGCAAGTTGAAAAAGGACAGAATTGGCTCCAGACGAGGACTTTAATATTAATAGTCAAGAGAAGATTTAAAAACCGTTCTGGGGTAACACCAACTCAGAGTTCCCAGCTAAACTGCCTCCCTGACCCCCTCTCTACTCCTCCCTTCCACAGGCTTCCCCAGGGCACCATTTCTCTGGAGTGGGGGGCACTTCAGCCCCTGAGCATCCTTGTAACGTCCATGTTGGGGCTGGGGGCTAGAGAAGGTCCCTCTCCTGTCTTATTCCCTTTTCATTCCCATAACCACGGCCTTTCCCCTGCCAACCTCCCAGGTAACAGTCCGTTACGTTCAATGTGCCATTTTGGGTTTGATCTCATTCTTGCAGAGCGTTTGTGGTTTTTATTTATCGATTTTTTAATTTACAAAAAAGGCCTTGTGCTGTGGGCCCCGCTCCGCGGGTCCTCTTTCCACCAGCACTGTGGTTGTAAGCAGCCGGCTGCTCTGTGAACATGGAGCTGCTTTAACTGCTGGGTGGTGCTCTGTGAGGCATCCCCCACCCGTGGCCTCTCTACCTCCCAGGGAAGGACACCCCACCGCACCCAATTCCCCTCCTGCAAACGAGGCTGCAGTGCCGTCCTCAGCGTGTCCGCTTAGCAGTGGTTCTCAACCTTCTGGCCCTTTAAATACAGTTCTTCATGTTGTGACCCAACCATAAAATTATTTTCGTTGCTACTTCATAACTGTAATGTAGCTACTGTTATGAATCGTAATGTAAATATCTGATATGCAGCATGGTGTTAGGCGACCCCTGTAAAAGGGTCGTTCAACCACCAAAGGGGTCGCGACCCACAGGTTGAGAACCACTGGCTTAGGGATTTGGTGAGAACCCCTTTGGCAGCGCCCCCCGTGGAGGGCGGCTCCCAGGTTTGCGGGTGTCTGCCTGAGTGCTGACCAAGGCTCTGGCAGGCACCCTAGCAGAGCCTGCGGCCTCCTGTCCCACATCCCCACCAGTGCTTGGTGCTGCCAACTTCCAGGCTCTGTCGCTCAAATGGCTGGAGAGTGACAGCTGGCTCTGGTGCACATTCTCTGATGACTAATGAGTTTGGGCCGCCTTTAGATGTTGTGACCCCCTCCCCCATCTCTTGAGCACGGCCTCTGCACAGTCTTACCAACCCTGATGTTCCCTTGGGGAAACCAAGGCTCCGGCAGGCCGAGTGCCTTGCTCCCGACCACTACGCTAGCCGCAGCCTCCCTGGCCCTCCGGCCAGCACAGGCTCTTACCGCGCTGCAGCGCCAGGTGGACCTTCCCCCCCAGCTCTAGCGCAGATGCTCGCTGGACAGGCTCTTTCCGCAGCCCCTCCTCGATGGCCTGGGCTGTGAGAGGGGTGCAGGAAGGCGGGATCTCCCTCACAGGCGGAGGCTCGCTGGCAATCTGGGGGTCAAAAAAGCAACACGTGAGGCCCTGCTGGCATGGATCCGTGGTTGAGCGCTGACCTATGAACCAGGAGGTCACGGTTCGATTCCTGGTCAGGGCACATGTCCAGTTGTGGGCTCGATCCCCAGTAGGGGGCATGCAGGAGGCAGCTGATCAATGATTCTCATCACTGATGTTTCTATCTCTCTCCCTCTCCCTCTCTGAAATCAATAAAAATATATTCACAAAACAAAAAAGCAACACGTGAGGCCTGCCTCCCCCATTTCCCAGGTTTCTCTTCTTGCTTCTCTCCACTCTCCCACCCGGCTGTGCTGGGGGGTTGGTCATGAGGACTGGAGGGACCTGGGGGAGAGTGAAGTCTGAGACTTTTCCAAGAAAAGGGAAAAAGACGGTGCAAGTAGGAGAGGTCAGAGCCAGGCAGCAAGACGCCCAGGACCTCCGGGCCCACCCTGTCAGGAGGCAGGCAGAGGGGGCCCAGAGTGTAGACCTAGGAGAGCTCAGACCTGAGGGAGCTCAAGGAGATCCCTCACCTAGGATCTCCCCTTGGCCCCTCAGATTCGGGGGACACGTATTTTAGCCAGGATCCCACATTTATGAGGCCTCTTCCTGTTCCCTGCTCCCATCTGCCACTGCAGAGCAGCTAAAATGCAAGGCCACCTCCAGGCTGCAGCCAGAGCCCCGTAGCCCTGCTGGCTGTCCCTCCTGGCTGTCTCAGGTGCTGTCACTGACCTTGAGGCAGAGCGGCCCTCGGAAGTACTGGGTCCAAGGGTGGCAGCCGTTGAGCATATGCAGCATCATGCAACAGCTGCTCCACACGTCCACCTTGGCATCACAGGGCTTGCCCATCACCACCTCTGGAGCCATGTGGGTCTCTGTGCCAGGGATGTAGTCCCCTGAGGAGGCAAGGGAGACAGAAGTCACCTGTGACCTCTGATAGGCAAGAGCTTCGGCAATGACCACCCCAGTCTGTTCCTGAGATGCCTTGAACTTGTCTGTGTTAAAGTGCTTTCATATCACATCTGCTGGGGATGAGCTAAGTCAGGGGTTCTGCTGGGACTGGTACAAAGAATACATCATCCAAATATGGACGCTGCCCTTTGGACCAAATCCTTTAGGTGCTTCTTTAAAATGGGGAGGGGCCTGGACATTGAAAATTAGGTTGTAGAAGACTAATGAATGGTATCATATTCCTGAAATTTTAGTAAGTGAAAAAAAAGAAAACTTATGTTCATAAAGGCTAGAACAGTGGTTCTCAACCTGTGGGTCGCGACCCCTTTGGCGGTCGAACGACCCTTTCACAGGGGTCGCCTAACACCATCCTGCATATCAGATATTTACATTACAATTCATAACAGTAGCAACATTACAGTTATGAAGTAGCAACAAAAATAATTTTATGGTTGGGTCACAACATGAGGAACTGTATTTAAAGGGCCAGATGGTTGAGAACCACTGGGCTAGAAGGATTGATACCAGATGTAAATAGCATTTTTTGTTCTGGTGATCTACAGTTTTTATTTTTGTTTAGCTCTAGTTCCTGCAAATATATTAGAAAAGGAATTATTTTTTGTAATAAGAAAACCCCCAAGTTATTTTAGTGTGGAGGGCAGGTGTCCATGTTCAATTTACATCTTCAGAATCACCATCAAAACCCTTTAACAACAAGTAAGCACTTTTTTCCAAAAGGTTGTTTTTCCTTTGATCAAAAGGAAACTACTTTATGCTTAATGTTATAAATGAAAAAAAGCAGGGCACAGAATTGGGTTATAATGGCCTTAACTATGTACAGAAAAAAAATCCAAAAATACCTGGAAGGAATTATCTAAAATTTCATGATTATCTTTCTGAGAAAGGAAAATGGTGAGAATTCCTTTTTTCCTCCCCTTCTATACCATTTAACTCTGTAGTTGCAAAATATCTTACAGTGGGTGTAGATTACTTTAATAATCAGAAAAATATAAGTTAAAAAGTTAAAACCAGATATTTCTCCAGCTACACAGCTCAGGCCTTTGTGCCTCCAGAACCTGCTCTCAAAGGCGCAGGAAGCCCTGACTGGTTTGGCTCAGTGGATGGAGCGTCGGCCTGTGGACTTAGGGGTCCTGGGTTCGATTCTGGTCAGGGGCATATGCCTTGGTTGTGGGCACATCCCCAGTGGGGGTTGTGCAGGAGGCAGCTGATCGATGTTTCTCTCTCATCGATGTTTCTAACTCTCTATTCCTCTCCCTTCCTCTCTGTAAGAAATCAATAAAAAATATATATATATATATTTTTTAAATATATTTTATTGATTTTTTACAGAGAGGAAGGGAGAGAGAGATAGAGAGTTAGAAACATCGATGAGAGAACATCGATCAGCTGCCTCCTGCACATCTCCCACTGGGGATATGCCTGCAACCAAGGCATATGCCCCTGACCAGAATCGAACCCAGGACCCCTCAGTCCGCAAGCCGACGCTCTATCCACTGAGCCAAACCGGCTTCGGCAATAAAAAATATATTAAAAAAAAAAAAAAGGCGCAGGAAGGCCGAGGTCACAGGCTGGGAGCACAGCTCTCCCAGAAGGCCAGACAAGAGGGATGGAGCCATGGAAGCGTCTGGGAGAAGACCTGGGACCTAGGGCCGGGCACGCAGCCTTTCCATTCTCCTCTGTGTAAAGGGAACATCAGAAACGAGCAGCTGACATGCGTTATTGCATTTAAGTCTGACAAAAGCCTTATAATACTCTAGGGTGGTTGTGGGGCTGAAGCATATTGGTGGACATAGTGCTCACATCTCTGATTCCGTTATGGAAGGTACAGGACAGGGCTAATACTAAGGCTACTGGCTATGATCATCATGGCGATAGGCGGGGGTGGGGGTGGGGATGGGGAGGGAGGGCATGGGCTTACCTGTGAGCAAGGAATTCCCCAGGCCATCAGGTCGAAGGCACACAGCATGGCCAAAGTCACAGAGGGCTGCCCGGCTCCCATCCTTGGACAGGAGCACGTTGTCAGCTGCCAGGCCGTCCCGGGGAAGAAGAGGAACAGGTGAGTCACGTCGGGCCCGGCCCACCCTGGACCTCCAGTGAGGCAATTTTCTGGCTGACCCTCCATGGCAGCTGCTGCTTTTGATTAGGCTCATTTGTCATGGAGGAAGGGAGGAGGGTATCAGTTCAGGCTCAAGGCAGGCAGCAGGCAGGCGTTCCAAGAGTGAGGGGACAGGGGCAGAGTTTACTCAGCTCTGCGGCCTCCCTCCCCCCAGTGGTCACCCGTGTGTAGTGGGGCACCACCCACTGAGGGCTTAGAGAACACTTCCCCTTCCCACACACAGCCCTGTCAGCCTGGCCCCGGCCCTGCCCCTGGAGATGACCAGGGAGCCCAGCAGACTGGGGAAGAAGTCGGCAGGACGGGAGAGGAAGAAGCCCGCCGGGACCAGGGCCTCACCTTTGACATCGCCGTGCAGGATCCTGCGGGTGTGGAGGTATTCCAGCCCTTCCAGGGCCTGGCCCAGGTAGTAGAGGGCTCGGTCCTCCGGCAGACGGCCCATCTGCTTGATGAGCTGGCCCAGGGAGCCACCTGGAGACCAAGGGCCAGCCTTTACATGGGGCTCTTCCAGGCCTCCAAGCCGAGGACAAGGGCGGGTGGTGGAAAGCAGGCCTTTCCCGCCAATGCCACAGGGTCAATAGGTTAAAAACGGATGCACTGGGGACCAAGGTGAACCTGGTAAGACTCGGGAAAACCCTGGGCTCTGAATTTTGAGGGAGAAGGGGTGGGACCTCGCTCCTCACCTTCCAGCAGCTCCATGAAGATGTTGACCCAAGGACCTTCCTTCACTGCTCCATACAAAGGGACGATTCTGGGCGAAGTCAGCCCGGCACAGGACATCAGCTCCTCTGCCCGAAACTTTTCCACTCGCACCTGAAAGGGCCCGGAGGTGGCTGTGAGTCAGGGTGAGGGGCCAGGGCGGGCTCCCTGTCATCCTGTCAGGACCCAGATGCTCCCCGCACAGAGCCTGCTGACGTGCTCAGTGACGATTCTGAGGCCAGGCAGGGCCCTGGTGGGCCTACAGGCCCTTCAGAAACCAAACTGTGTACCCCTGGGGTCAGGGGCAACTCCCAGGACTTGATTAAAGTTCTGAGGGGCTGACGGGTGTGAAAATACAAAAACTTGCAATCTTCATCCTGGCTCTCAGCAGGCTGCCCACCCTCAAACCCTCAAATCTGCCAAACACAGAACTTTTTTTTCTTTCCCCCAGCACAAATGCCTGGGCAATTTCTAGACACAGGACCTCTCCTCTATCAACACCCACGACGACTCTTCAGATGCTGGGTTCTGAATCTTATTAAGACTCTGACTGTCAGTGCCTCTGATCCTCAGCACTCTTCTCACTCTCATGCTGGTCTCTCTCCTCCCAGGACTGACATCCACGTGGACGGCGCAGTGCTGTGCTCTGTGCGCAGCTGTTTCCCTAGCATCTGGGCACAGAAGGCTTCCGGGGAGGGGTTTGGCCAAGGACCCTCCCGCTGGGGACCGGCTGGCCTGAGCACCCCTCTCCTTTCTGCAGGGACCAGCATGGGGTGGCAGGAAGGAACAGACCCTCATACAAGCACCCTGCGCAGAGACCCTCGCTCAGCCACTTCTAAAGGTAGATCAATCCCCCTAAACCCTGTTTCCATAAGTGAAAGGTGGGGGCAGTGGCCTCGGCTCCTGGGAAGAGTGAGCATTTGGAGGGGTGACAGCCAGCACCGGGCCTGGCAACCAGTGGTGCTCAGGAAATGCTAGCTTCCCACCTCCTCCTCCAGCTCAAGTAAGAGCAGCTGAGGAAATGCTTGGGCTTCCTGAATAGCCTTTCCTCCCGGCTCCTGGGGGTTCTCGTGTTCGCCTAGCAGTGGTTCTCAACCTTCCTAAGGCCGCGACCCTTTAATACAGTTCCTCATGTTGTGGTGACCCCCAACCATAAAATTATTTTCGTTGCTACTTCATCACTGTAATTTTGCTACTGTTATGAATCGTGATATAAATATCTGATATGCTATATGTGTTTTCCGATGGTCGCGACCCACAGGTTGAGAACCGCTGGAGAGGTACCACCAGGGGGCGCCAGGGGTAGCAGAACAGGCTGGAAAAAATCAGTCAGGACCTGGCCGTTTTCTTTGGAGGGAGACGTTCTGCCTTGGCAAACAGCTCTGACGATGTGGGGTTTTTGGACTTTTGCCTATCAGTGGAAAATGTCTCTCTCCTGGTTACATACAGAATACTATATCTGGTTTTGTTAATGAACTCGCATGAACTTTGACTCTTTGTCAGTGTTTCCAGCTCTGAACCCGAGTTGGAGCTAATTCACCAACGGGACTTGTTTGTAAATGTCTGTAAACGGAGTGCTCCCAAACTGTTAGTTGAAGCACCTTGGGGCATCGCCGAGAACTTCGAAGGCCACGCCAGAATATTTTACTTTGGGGGCAATAGCAACGATGTACGTTTATGGGACGTCGAGTAAACTGCTGGCTTGAGGTAGTTCACTTCAACACTAGGTTGCAGAGTATTCCTTTGATGGTAGATCTTTATGAAATGAGGTTTTCGGAGGTTGCTGTGATACATACTTCGGGGGGAACATGGGGAGCAGGAATCGAAGGTGATGGTGTCCAATCTGACTTCAAAGTTTGAGAAGTTGTGCAGTGCCCAACAACGAGCGCATCCCAGGAGTAATTACGGTGGTTTAAGGACAGAAGAAAATTTTTCTTTCAGTTTCTATGTGTTGTTTTCAAATGGCTACTAAGTTGTTAGGATAAAGACATTATTGGACCTAATGCCTTAATCAATGGAACTGTTAGGTACTTGTTTCGGCCTGGGGTGCCATGAAAACATTACTGAGACATGAAGAGCTGTGAAAGAAAGTTTGGGGAGCCCTGCTTTCACTTTTAAGAGATTCGTAAGTCCCTCTAGAGTGGCCCGGCCATGTTAAGAGCGTTCCCACCCACCCAGCCAAAGGGGGGTCAAAGGAGACTCTTCAAAACACGAGGTGGTTTAGAAACCTGTGCCAGCTCAGGGAGAGCAGGCTGGCAGGGCAGTCCCGAGGTAGCCAGGTGGGGAGAACACAGGCTGTGCAGCCAGGCCAGCCGCCCATCTGGTCCACCTCCCCGCTCTGGACTTCAGTGTCCTCACCCAGGAAGTGAGGGACTGGGCTAGATAAGGATGTTAACGAGAACTAATATTTAATACACACTTAACATATGCCAGGTACTATTCTACACTAATCAGTGGTTATTTACATCTTGCAATAGCCTGTGAGCTGGTATTCCCATTATCTCCACAGAGCAGGTGCTTGGCAGCAGCTGGCTTTACTTGGCCAAGGCCATGCTATCCCAGGTCAGTGGCAGAGTTAAAAGGAGGCTCCCAGAACTCCATGCTTGAGCCAGATGTGCTCAAATGAATGGTTCTTAACCCTCTTTGGGCCACAGATTCCTTTGAAAATCTGATAAATAACACGGACCCTTCCCCATAAAAATGTGTGTGTGCATCTATACATCACACTCACACACACACAGAGGAGACATGGACCCTATGAATTCATCCGCTGCTAGGATGAGAGCTTATATATTGGCTGTTAAAAGCACTAGCGCAATGCATATGTATCAGTAAGGAAATCTGTCCATGACATATTATTACATGAAGAAAACATGGTACAGAACAACCTCTAGGGTACAACCTCATGTTAATAAAGACAACAACTACATGTTTATATATGCATAACAAGTCTAAAATGATTTATGTCAAAGAATAGTTACCTCTGAGAATGGGGTCAGGGAACAGGGAAACTTTTGCTTTTTGGGTATCATTTGAATTCTTTTATAATGAGCCTATATTTATTTGCAATTAAAAAGTAAGCTCAGCCCTAGCTGGTTTGGCTCAGTGGATAGAACATTGGCCTGCGGACTCAATCCCCAGTAGGGGTCGTGCAGGAGGCGGCCGATCAGTGATTCATCACTGATGTTTCTATCTCTCTCTCCCTCTCCCTTCTTCTCTGAAATCAATAAAATTATATTAAAAAAAAAGTAAGATCATACAAAACCTTAAAAAACAAAAACTCTACATTAAACCCCAGACTCATGACCAATCAGCATTTGACCTGGGGCCATGGATGTTCTAGAAGGAGGACCAAGGAAGTGCTGTCCTCACCGTGTGCTGGATCCTCCCCAGGGAGCATTAGACAGTGCACGACTTGCTCTGACCCTATGTGCAGCCTGACCTCTGACCCCGTCCCCCCATCCTACTCCTCAGCGGGGAACTGGCTCTCAGATCTTCCAGATGAACATCCTAAAGGACCCCACTGCCTGCCCTCTCTCCTCTCCTCGGGAGACAGGAGAGCAGGGCGGGGCTGTCCCCAGCCAAGAGCGGGGCTGTCCCCAGCCCACAAGCCGCCCCACTGAGACCGTGGACAGCAGGAGGGGAGCTGGGGGAGTGGATGCTCCAGCAGAAGCAGAAGCACTGAGTGGATGGGTGGGCAGCCGAGTGGTGCTTGGAGCTTCCCTCTCTGCCTTGGTGAGGGACGGAGGATGTGTCCTCTTCTACTATATTCGGGTTGTTTACCTTGTTGCCTGGGACTCTGACAACCTCATCAGGGGAACAGCTGAGAAGCCCGGTGACTAAGCCCCCAGCACTGACCATTCATCTCCAGGACACTTCACACCCTCTCGGAGGGACAGCTGCGCCTTCTCCGATGGCCTGGGGAGGGAGCTGCTGCTGAAGAGGTCAGGCACGAGGCCCGGGCCTCCCAGGGGAAGATGACCACGCTGGCAGGAACTCCGCACATGTTCTGGTCAGTGGGGGCTGGCGAGGGCAGAGCTTGCTTATTTGAGACAGTATGTCTGAAGTTTGGGGTAATACCTACGGATAGTCCCCTCTCGTCCTGTCGCCCTGAGGCTCCAACTGTAGAACTCTAACACCCTGGCCCAGGTACAAGCCAGGGAAGCCAGGTGTATCAATGCCACAATTTGTATCTTCACCCCTTAAAGCCACAGGCATCCATGGCAGCGGCAGAGTTGATGTCCACTCGGCACAGGCCCTGGTCTGGCTACTTGGTTTCTTTCCATTTAGGGACCAGAATGTCCTTGACAAAAGCTGCTTGATAACAAGGTCCATCTCTCAGCTAGTCTGTTTCACCTTGCCAGCGGGCCAAGGAAATGGCCCCCAGAAATGTTTCTGGTTTCTGGCTTCAGAGGTCCTGGATGCTGGCCTGGGGCCAGGGACCAAGTGGCTTCCAGTCAAGATGAGCTGAGAGCCAGAGGGAGGAGAAAAGGGGGCAGAAGGGGAGCAGGGTTGACACCTTCCAGGTGTGTGGATGTGCGGCTGGTGGGCCTGTGTGTGACTTGAAAGAAGGAGGCCTCCGTTTCAGGCCCAGCTGTGTGGCTTTGGGCAAGGCACGTGGCTCTCTGGTCTCAGTTCTAACATGGTGAGATGAGAGAGTGGAGAGGTGATGCATGCCTGTGTCTCTAGTTAAATCCTAGGACCACAAGTCCTTCTCCCCACTCTCCTTGAGAAGTGTTTCAGAGGTGGATTCTAGTCAGACAAGCCTGCGTCTCTTGCTAAGTCTCATTTCCTCATAATGTCCATCACCCAGGACCAAACTCAAACCAGATCTGACTCCCCCGACGCACAGACTCCTCCAGGAGGCACCTGTCAGGTGGAGGTGTTGCTCTTGCAATTGCCTTATGGCCCAGGTGTGGTGGCCCTACTATGTGGTTAGGGGTTTCGGCCTCACATGCATGTCATGGCGATCCACCCGTCTTCCAGGGTTACCTGCCCCTGGCATGGCCTCAGAAGTGGCCCAGGCCGCGTGCACACTCTCAGATCCCCTCTCACTTACACGCATAACAAGTGCAGCTCCCAGACGGAGCCAGGGCAGCCAGGAGAGCTGGGCTCCGTTAGAAAGTTAGACCCACGCCACCCTGGGCCTACCTCGAAGGAAGGCAGAGGGAGTGCAGCAGGCGCCCTGGCCTCCCTCTCCAGCCCCTGGAGCTCTGGCACATGTTTGGGGGCCTACCTTTTTGACAGCACACTGGAAGCCAGTCTGCTTGTCCTCCATCCTGTGTACCTCTCCGAAGGAGCCTCTGCCCAGGCAGGGCTGGCGTGTGGCCCAGTGGACCTCCTCTCGGTACTCATAATCCACCGGCTTCAGTTTCTGTAGTTGGCGGAGAGAGCCCCGTTTCAGTGGCCAGGCCACAGGGGGACGAAGCGTTACAGTTAGGAAGGCTGCCAGGCTGGGGCTGAGCCCTCACAACCAAAGACATCACCGAGTTGGGGGTTGGGAGGGCAGGACCCAGAGAGGGGGTTATGGGAATTAGGTGAAGGCGAATGAGTGCCTCACGTGCTGCCGGAGGCAAGCGGGTCCGTGGATGAAAAGCCTCCCAGACTTGTGGTTGTGGGACAGAAACGGACATTGAGTCAATGTTGACAATGAGAAAATATAACTCAGGAGCTAAAAGGTAGAAGAAAGGGAAGGACAGGGAAGGGGGCAGGGGCCAAGGGATAACGTCAAAGATGGATGGAATAAAGCCCAGAAATGTAAGCGTGGAAAATCATTTACGGTTACAAAATTATCTGGTAAGAGAACTAGAGGAAAAGGGGAAGACGGGGAGTAGTGAAGGAGGGCCAGATCCTCATGTCTCACATCGGGGTCCTGGGTAACTTCTGAAGGTGATATTTGCTTATTCCCATTTCTCAGCATATGTATTATTCATATAACACACGCACACAATCAGCAGTAATGAGGTAACCAATCGGACTAAAAACAGAAATAGCTAAAAAGACGGAAAAGAGAGCCTGGAGGTTGAGTGGGTGACTATGCTTTTCATCAGCGATAGCAATTTGCTATGATGTCATCTTTTTACCCCATGCCTGCGTGATCTTGATAAAGAGAAAAAACCATCCCCCCAAAGGGTAGGAACTTGACAGTGGGTCTGGCAGGTTTCCAGCGATGCCCTTTCTTCCATAGCAGGTCCCCCTGACTCCCAGCTGCTACCCTTGACCCTGGACTTGGTGGTGGTGGCAGTGGTATGTGTGTGTTTGGGGGATTAGTTACCTCAGTAAGCAGGACTCCCTCGCTGTCCTCAGTTTTGGGGCTGGGCTTCTGGGGCCTGGAGCCCCCCGCCGACCAGGTCTTGGCCAGGCTGGCCAGGCTGTGGGCCTGGCCGGAGCTCACGCTTCCTTGCAGGGCGTGCACCAGGTACTCCTCCACAGAACACTTCTCATGAGTGCCACAAGGTGGGCGGCTGGGCTCCAGGGGTGGGCCAGGCAGCGGCTTCTGACTGTCTCTATAGGCTAGTTTGCTCAGGGGTGGGCCAGGCAGGGGCTGATGGCTGTCTACACAGGCCAGTTTGCCCAGGAAGGCCTCTAGGGGGTGAGGTTTCCAGGGCTGGAGGGGGTGGAATGGGAAGGGATGGGGCAGTCTGCCGTAGGGGAAGGGGTGAGCAGGCTGGGGCAGGGGGCCTACATCCTGGGGGTGGTGGAGTTTCCACACGTGGTTTAGACATTGCAAAGGGCTGATCAGTTTGTGGAGTTCTGACCGGGGCAGTGCTGGCCGTAGGCCTTCCCCAAGTTTCTTAAAACAGAGTTGGCCAAGGCCTGGCTCCTTCAGAGGCTTGGTGAACTGGAGGGCGTTGCTAATATATGGGGAGCCAAGTGGGGACTCGTCCTCCTGTGGGGAAAACACGGGTGTTAGGACATAGGGCCAGGCCAAGGCTCAGGCGCTGTGCCAAGGGCCCCGTGAGCCGGTTCTGGGGATGACAGTGGGGCTCACCTGCACAGGGACTGTGCAGCTCTCCTGCTCGGGGGTTCTGGGGAGCGGTCGGGCCACGGCCACTCCCGCCTGAGCCAGGGACTTCGAGCTCTTCTTCTTGCGTTTCTTCCGGGCTTTGCTGCGACGCTTCCCCTTCCAACACACACGGGCCATTTTGCCCTCAGTTGCGTGGGCCACATTGTTGGGGATCTGATCAAGGCTCTCAGACTGGCTGTCAAAAAGGGGACAGATATGCATTTTGAACGTGAGGAGGCAGGAAGACGTAACTGCTTAGGTAACGGCGGTCAGAGTCATAGACAAATCCCTTGGTACTTAAGTGAACCTGGGGACATCCTTAAGCCCCAGGAGCCTCGGTTTTCTCATTTATAAAGTGGGGGTAGTGTTTCTGCAGGTGGCGAGGTGGAAAGAAACAGCTCACTGACCAGCCAGTGTGGCTCAGTGGTTGACCTATGAACCAGGAGGTCACGGTTCCATTCCCTGTCTGGGCACATGCCCAGGTTTCGGGCTCTATCCCTGGTGTGGGGTGTGCAGGAGGCAGCTGATCAATGATTCTCTCTCATCATTGATGTTTCTGTCTCTCTCTCCCTCTCCCTTCCTCTCTGAAATCAATAAAAATAAAATAAAAAAAGAAACATCTCATTTGAAAAGCCTACCTCAGTGCCTGGCCCCAAAGGCAAATTTCCCCTAAGCCATTATTATTGGGGCTGGGTGTTCAGGCACATGCTTCTCTCCCTGCTCTCCAAGGGGGGAGTCCCTGGAGGGCCCAGTAGGTGGCGCGTGGCTCTGAGGGTCACTCCGTGGTGGGCATTGACTCTAACTGACAAGGGTTTGCTTCTGTCACCTCCAGAAGAAGGGACAGTTGAGGACGGTCACCTCTGATCTCTGGTGGCCATAGGAATGTGAGGAGCCACAGAAACAAGACATCTTGCCTGGGCTGGTGACCAGGGGCCAGGGGAGCCTGGCTTTCTCTGATGGCCTCCCCACCGCCATGGATCTCACTGGCTCTTTCCCCTGCCAGGTATTAAGGCACTGGCAACGGTTTCTGGAAGGATGGCTGCCAAACAGCTGTGGACAGACCTCAGCCTTAGCCACCCTCGCACACAGGAGGCAGACGCACCCCAGTCCTGGGGGCTGCTAGAGGCCTACACGCTTTTCTCGGGGGGCTCAAAGAATGGCTCCCTCAGGAGCCCTTCCCCTGGGCAAAAGGCATGAGGGGCAGTGTAAGGAATTTGACCAAACACTGAGCATTTATGGGTTCAAGGGCAGCGGTCCTCCCCACAACCTTTTTTAAAAAATATATTTTTATTGATTTCAGAGAGGAAGAGAGAGGGAGAGATAGAAGCATCAATGATGAGAGAGAATCATCGACTGGCTGCCTCCTGCACGCCCCCCACTGGGGACTGAGCCCGAAACCGGCTCATGTGACCTTGACTGGAATTGAACCCGGATCCTCCAGTCAGCAGGCTCTATCCACTGAGCCAAACCGGCTAGGGCCCCACAGCCTTCTTATCACTAGCAGTTTCCATATTGCAATGATAAAAAAGTCCGCCTGGCGGTAGAGGAGGAAGTTGTTTCCAGGTTCAACTTTCAGTTGCCAAAATTCATCCTTGGGGAAGGGGAGCCTGGGACCAGACTGAGCCTCGCTTGGCCGCCTTCCTCCAGGGCCCCGGAGCTGTGGGTCTGCCTGTTTCCAAACCCTCATCCCGCCGGGTGTCTCACAGGAGAAAAGACACTGCAGGTTTCTCCCACAGTCAGGGAGGCCCCTCGGGCCTGCACCTATGGTCATGGACCAGCGAAAAAGTGATCTCTGTTCCCAGCGCCCTCCCTGTTGATGGGAAATGAGGGGGAGCAGCAAGGACTCTGAGGAGAATAAAAATAAAATGTCAAGCTGATGCGACCCAGAGGCAGTCATCCACACGCTGTGAAAAGCTTTTGAAAAGCTTATTTGGCTGAGAGAGCAGCTCAGCCAGGAAAGCCTGGGCGGGTTCCAAGGGCTGCACCACAGGTGCTGAAGGAGGGAGCCAGGGGTCACCAGGGAGCGGCCGGGGAGCAGCGGGGGGAGGGAGGATGCTGGCTTAGTTCCCCGTGTCCCGCTCAAGCTCACCTCCTTACCTGTACTGTTTTGACCCAGCGATGAAAATCCGCTCTGAAAAGGTGGGGCTGAACTCTTGGCTATTCTCACCTTCGAAGTAAAGGAAATGGGGTTGGACAAGCAGAAGGGAGAAGAGAAGGAACAGGAATTCAGCACTTGGGAGAGAGGCATTTTAGAGACACCCTCGGGACCACGCACCCCCCTCCTCTGAGACCACCTCCGTCTGTCTGGTGGCTCCCTCCTTACGCATGCCAGCTCCTCTCATGACTGCTTCACCCCACCCTCCGAGTTTAAGGGTCAAGAGCAGAGGGCAGACCTATAATACGGGCTCATAGGGTGCCCACCTCACTTCCCTTACTGTGAAGCTCAAGTGAGATGATCTATACAAAATCCTCACCAAAGTGCTTGGCACATATCACGGCTCAATAAATATAAGCTATTACGTTCTTACACGTATGTGTTTATGTGTGTCTATTATTACATTCTGTCACTCACTCCACTTCAATTGTTATTCCCTCATCTCTCCTCAAAAACCAGACAGAAGGCAGTGGAAGATGAGGGGGAGGATGTGAATGTGGGAAAATGCTGTCATGAGCTGTCTGCCTGGCCCAGAAACCTCCGAGGGTGGGTGGGGAGAGAGGAGACTCCTGGCCCGACCCAGCCCTCCTGGGAGTTTCTCGGGCTCCTGTGGCAGCCATCGTTTCAATCATTTTGAGATATTGTAAGTGGAAGCAGAAAGGGCCAGGCCAGGCCTTACCCGGCAGCCGCCTGCGGCCATCAGCGTGCCCAGCAGGCCCAGGAGCAGGTGTTCATTCTTTGGGGTGGGGCCACCTTGAGATGGAAGAGAATCAGGCCCCATAGGGGCTTTCCAGGAGACCTGGCCTTTCCTGTCGGGGCCTCTCCAGCGATGCGCCGGCTGCCCAAGGTCAGGACAGAAGGCTAAGGGCCTGCTTGATGATCCTGCAGAGTCCCCGGGACCTGTGGAGCCCACGGTGTCCTGCCTCCCAGCTCTCTTCCCTGCTCTGGCTACAATGGGTAAAGGCCTCCATCTGCCACTTCTCCCTCCTTCTGTCTCACTCCCCAGCACTGTTATAACTCCCACTTCACGCTCAGTCTTGGCTTAACCTCCACTCCCCCCAGTTGTATCTTGTGAGAATCACAGAGAGTGGTCACCATGACCTCCCTCTTCCATAGGAGACCCCAAACCTCACCTGTGCCAGCCACCCTTGCGTAAGAGCTGCACCCACCTGCAGGCCCACCCTCTCAGCCAGTACCCTCCCAGCCTGGGGCCCTCACATTCAGCCTGGGCAATGATGGAGATGGCGGCCGGCCCTCCCTCGGAGCCTTCCTTGGCGGTGCCTTTGGTGATCACGTCGTTCAGGATTTCCCACTTCCCGCAGAACACGGGGCTCTTCTCCACGGCCTCAAGCTTGTTGACGGAGCTGTGCACCTTCTCCATGGCCTGTGTCTTCTCCTTGGCTTTGGCGAGCTCCTTCTGCTGCCCGACCGCCGAGCCAGGAGCGCCTGGGCAGGCCACTTCCATCACTGCCATCTCCCAGGCTCACGCTCACCCTGAGGGGAGACCAAACGAGAGCAGGTCACTCACAGACCCCGAGGGGCCCAGGTCAGGCGTGGGCGGAGGAGGAAAGCAGGGGAGATGGGGCTCCGCCTCTTTATGCCCGTGCACTCATCCTCCAAATGTTCCCGAAGGCAAAGAAGTCCACCTCTCGGCATCTACACTGGCCCCAGGAGCAGCGAGCCCCCAGCCCTAGCAGCACACCACCCTCAACAGACTCCACCCTGCCCAACAAGGAGGCTTCCGGCCACTTCCTCCAGACACCATGGCACAAACATCTGGGTTGGTTCTTTTTTGCCTTTATAAATAATGGCGGGATCTTCTGTTGTTTGTTTTATGGCAAACGTTGCTTCCCCAGAACAGGGTGGTGGATCCTATATTCCAAAACCATGAGTCACCTCACTGACTGCTCAAGCCTTGTCTTCTCAGAGGACATGCCTGCACCGTCCACATGGCTCTTCTCCAACAGGAGAGAATGAAGGTTTTGCTCCCTAGCAGGACTAGACATACGTATGCATATGCGCATATGTATACACATGTCTTACAAAGTCTAAAAATCACCATGCAAACGGCGGCACCAGCGCCTGGCTCCTGTCCAGGAAGCATCTGCTTGTGGCTCTCCAGAGGAACTGACATACTTCCTTCTGTAACGTCCAAACTCATTTGCTGAACACCTCTCCTAGGTCTCATCTTTCTTGCAGGCAACATCAGCAAGATGAGAGCCTCCAGCACCCCCACACCTCTTAGAAATAAGAGGGCAAAGCACGAGAATGCAATCTCCAGCGGCCCTGAGTGTTACAGGAAGCTGCAGGGTGAGCCCAGTGTTCTGACAACCTGTGCAAATAGCCCGTGGGCTAGAGCTGCCATGAAACAGACCGTACCATCGGAGACTGTGACCATCTGGGAACCCTTCTAAAGACTGGGCTGTGAACTCCCACAGAGCAGGGTCTTGACTTGCTACAGACAAAGCCTGGGAAGGCACCAGATGCAAACAGGCCCTATCTATTTATTTATTATTTGGTGTTAATCCCCACCTGAGGATATTTTTCCATTGATTTTTAGAGAGAGTGGAAGCGAGGGGGAGAGACACACAGAAAGAAATAGCAATGTGAGAGAGACACATTGATTGGTTGCCTCCACACGCCCCCAATCAGGAGCCTGCAACCAGGTACATGCCCTTGACTGGAAATCGAACCCGGGACCCCTCAGTCCCCCTTAGGCTGACACTATATCCACTGAGCCAAACTGCCTGGGGCGCAAACAGGTCTTTAATGAGTGCTCTCTGGTGGCAGGCTGGTCTTAAAGGTGTCACTACCAGAGGCAGTCTTCCCTGCCGCCGTAACTCCACTCATCCCGGATCCCGCCTCCGTCTGCTCTTTGGGTAGAAGGGCAGACCCTGTGAACTGTGAAGGCCACCAAAGCTGGACCGCCTCTGGCCTTCTGCCCTATCAAGCTAAAACGAGACAGTCAGAAGCTGGGAAACATTAGGCTCAAACCTTCCTACTGAGTCTGCCTCACCACAAAGACTATGAAAGACTGAGCCAGTCTGACTGGGGTGGGGTGAGGGGGCTGGGTGTGCTGGTCACTAATTCGATCCTCACATCTGTGCCTTCAAGGGCCTCCTAGCTTTGAACTCAGAGTGGCTCCAGCTTTCAGCACGAATGCCTGGGTTTGGTCCTGAAGACTAGACGCTGAGGAGGCTGAATGGGTGACCTCATTGTTACTTGATGACTTTCAGCAGTCCAGGGGGTGTTCTGACTTCAATCAGGCCAAAGCCCTCCAAGCAGGCTGTTTTCCTTGTAAGAACACTTTCTTCCCAACCACCTCCTCAACCCCTGCAACCTCCAAAAAGGAACTGATCTGGGGCCTACAGCACCTCCCACCTTCCTTGGATTCTTTACCAGGGGCATTGAGATCTTAAAAACAACCCCAAACCTCCAAACCTAACAAACAGCCTTAGCGTTCTGCTTACAGGGACTGCCACAGTACTGTAACCTCCTCATTTTCTTTTTTAATATATATTTTTATTGATTTCAGAGAGGAAGGGAGAGGGAAAGAGAAACATCAGTGAGAGAGAATCACTGATCGGCTGCCTCCTGCACACTCCTTACTGGGGATCGAGCCAATAACCCAGCCATGTGCCCTGCCTGGGAATTAAACTGTGACCTCCTGGTTCGTAGGTCAAAGCTCAACCACTGAGCAGAACCCTCAGGGCGCAACCTCCTCATTTCCTTTTTCTCTCCTTTTTTTAATCCTCACTGGAGAATATTTTCCATTGGTTTTTAGAAAGAGCGGAGGAGAGAGGGAAAGACAGAGAGAAATATATCACATCAATTGGTTGGCTCTTGCATGAGCCCAGATCAGGGCCCAGGCCGGAGAGGAGCCTGCAACTGAGGTATATGTGCCCTTGACGGGAATCTAACCCAGGATCCTTCAGTCCACAGGCCAACCTTCTACTGAGCCAAACTGGCTAGGGCCTCCTCATTTTCACTTGAAGAAATTGAGACCTGATTTGGCAGTGACTTGCCCAAGGTTGCCCAGACTGTGTGGCAGTGCAGGGCCAGGACCTGGAGCCCCAGGCTCTCGGCTGTGCTGCCTACTCCCTTAGTCTCCGGGGTTATAGGCAAACACACGGGGAACTCCCTGGTCAGAAGGCTCCTGAGGGCAGAGGTGGTGCCCTCAGTGTACAGCACAGCGAGGCACAGACGAGACAATCGATGCTGGCTGAATGCGGGGATCAAAGGATGACCTCCAGAGACAGGATGGTCCTGAGCGTGGGGGATGGAGAGAGAATTCCATCCGACGAGAGAGAGAAATGAGGCCGAGTGGTCAACGGCTGTCCCGAGGGCACCCAGCTGTTTGAGATCTAGATGTGCTGGTGCTCAGAGTCCACCTCTGCCTGACATGGCTCACCCTGAGCCAGAGCTCCATTCCCCCTCCCCACCACAGCCATCCTTTCACCTTGGTGGTTAGAAGGGCTGCTGGCCAGGCGCCCGGATCCTCCCCCATGAGCATATCAGGCTCTCCTGCTGGGAGAAGCTGAGGCGGAGGCAGCCAAGCTCAGGGCCTGTGCAGTTCCCTGGTGACTCACCACCAGCCTGGCAGGCGGAGAGGAACAAGAAGGCTGTTGAGAAGCTAGCCCAGCAGCTGGCAGCTGAACCTGTGAAGGGCATGGGGAAAACAGGCTGACCCTCACCCCTCAGGGGCATGAAATCACGGCCTGGGAACTGTACAGCTTCTCCTGTGGCTGGCTTTCCTGGGCCACATGACCATGACTCAGGCCCTCACTGACAGACTCCAAGTTCAAGAGGCTATTCTCGGGACACTTTGCCTGACAGCAGCTCTTACACACACACACACACACACACACACACACACTCACGCTCCTTCCCGCCTTCCGCACTTCTATACTGGGTCTGGTCTACAAAAGCAGGTTCTGCATTAATCCTGGGACTGCTAGCCGGGTGGCCTTCCCAGCCCCAGGTTTTGGTCCCTGGGTAGTCACCCCAGCTCACAGCCCCGCAGCTCTGCTGCCCCTTCTCTCTCCTGCAGCTTGTGGAGAGTGAGGACTAAGTGGGAGCCAGTTATGTCTCTGCCTTTGAAAGCAGGTCAAAATCCTGAGCCATTACTCAGCCTGGACTCTCTCCCCATCTCCACTCACACCTCAAATGCAGTCTGGCCTCTGCTTCGTCAGAGCTGAGCTGAGGACGTATGCGAGCTGTAGCAATAGCCAAATGCACTCAGCTCACCCAAGGCCATGAAAATAAGAGTGGAAGGGAAAGGGGTGGAGTTCCTTCAGTATTCATTCTTTCAGGGCCTGATGCATGCACACTGCCTATTCTCTCTTCTGGGGTGCCTTGCTGAGCCCCTGGAAGTCGGGGGGCGGGGTAGGAATGACTGGGATGGTACCAGATGAACCCTTGGGCAGACCCGTATGACAGCTTGTTGTGGACAAGGCTGCCAGACCCTAAGACTCTAACTTGGCTCCCCTACCAGGTAGTAAAGGTCTTTGGTCCAAGGTGAGGAGTGGGTTCAAGGATGGCATGTCAAAATATACAGTTTGGGCTTTTTCCAGGGAAGAGGTCCATAGCTTCTATCACATTCTCCAAGGGTCTGACATTCCCCAGAAGGTTGCTGTAATCTCCAGAAGATCAAGGCCAGGGCTGAATGCCTGATGCTGGCTCTGCTCTCCCACCCTAAGGAAGAGGGCACCCGGCTAACGCAGCAATTTCCAACCTGACTGCAGGTTAGAATAACCAGATGAGTTCTTAAGATGCACTCACCCTACACTTACTGAATCAGTCACTGGGCATTAGGCCCAGAATCTGTACTTTTGACAAGTTCTCTGGATGATTCTGATGCCAAGGGGTCAGGGACTGTCACTTCAGCCCCTCTCTATACTGTAAGGCTGCGCTGTCCAATATGGTGGCCACTAGGGATGTAAATGGATTAAAATTAAATAAAATTTTAAAATCAGTTCCTCAGTTTCACTAGCTACTATGTTGGACAGTGCAGCGAGAGAATGCTCCCACCACTGCAGCACGGTCCACGGGACAGCGCTGGTCTAAAGCCATGATAGCGATGTTTACTCAACAGCAAAAGTTGTTCCTAGGATCCTGAGACAGGAATGTAGTTTACGTTAAATGATTTTTTTTTTTATTAACTAGAGGGTACAAAAATAATGTTTAAAATTTTATCTTCAGTGTTGATAACCTCTCTAAAATGTATCATATTTCACTTCCCTGTTTTAGTAAGTATGGTGAAAACACCAGACTAGGAACCAGAAGATAAGGGTTTTAGCCTTGGCAACTTAAACAACAAAAAAAGAAGCCATGAGACCATTTTTGTCAAATAAAATCAGACCTTAACTCCTAATATATAAAAGAGCTAGAAGCATGCAGCTGATATGTAATTCACATTAAAAACAGCTTCTCTGGCCCTGCCGACATGGTTCAGTGGTTGAGCATCAACCTATGAACCAGGAGGTCACGGTTTGGTTCCTGGTCAGGGCACATGCCCAGGTTGTGGGCTCGGTCCCCAGTAGGGGGCCTGCAGGAGGCAGCCAATAGATTCTCTGTCATCATTGATGTTTCTATCTCTCTCTTCCTCTCCCTTCCTCTCTCAAATCAATGAAGACATATATTTAAAAAAATACAAGCCGCACAGTCACAGGTTGCAGAGGTGAGGCTTGCTGCCTAAAGCTTAAGCAGGCTGCCCAGTTTCTTCTCTTCGTGTCTTTGGAGTTATTTTGAGGACTGAACGAGGTAGAGTACAGAAACGCCAATTGGTTTGCTTGGCCAATAGAAGATACTAAATGAAAGTTCACTCCCTTGCCCTTCACCAGGCCCATAAATGCTGCCACTGAGACAATGGTACTTCTCTGTTTCGACGCCATATAGTCAAGATGTCGAGCCTTACTTAAGCCATACGTGAGCCTTGGTTCTCTGAATATAAAGGAAATAAAAAGCTCCATCTTATAGGGTCATCTTGAAAATGTCCACTGAGGGGCCAGGGCAGACCAGGGCAAATCCCTCTCATGACTATTTCATCTGGAAGTAAAATCTGTCCTTCTCTGAATGCCCAGAGGGGACAAATAGCAGAAGTAGAATGACTCAACTTCCTTAGTAAGATATGAGTTGAAAAACCAATCTTATTCTGATGCTTCCTCTTTTAAGCCCCAGCTTGCCTGGCCACTGGGCCAGCCTGAGCTTATCAAGAACGAGGGGCTGTGCAGGAAGGGGAACAAGGGCCCGCGTCAGGCAGAGCGAGCTGGCCTGGCAAAAGTCATCTGGCGAGGCAGACACAGCGATCCCCATGCACGCTCAGCCCTGGCTCCCTTTCTGCCCTGCCTACCCATCCTCCCGTCGCCCCCCCCCCCCCCCCCAGTCCAGCTTCTGTTCCAGCCAGACTCCTTTCACTGGCCCAAGCAGAGCAGCCATGGGTGAGCCTCAGATTCTTTCCTTTTGCTCACCTCGTTGCTCCTATAGAGAATGCCTTCTTTCTTTATTAATATCTGCCCAGACCTCACCTACCCTTTATAACGTTTCTCCTCAATGAAGCCTTCTGTGTTAGGCTCCTGCATTCATTCAACAAGAGTTCAATGAGTGTCTCCCAAGGGCCAGGGACTGCAATAACCACGACCAGTCATCAGACGTCTTCAATGTACTAGGCATGTACTAGGTGCTTTACCTCAGCAACCGGTAAGGTTGGTTAATACTGTTCCCATTTTACAGATGAAGGAACTAAGTTTTCAAGACATGTTACCTGCAGAAACAATGAGGCCAATTTATACAACTAGAGCATCTAATGTGGGGTTCGGGCTACAGCTAGGACACGCCTGGCCCTTTCTCCTGGGACTCAAGGATCCTCAGTTCCTTTTTAGGATAAAAGTGTCTTGGCAGAGGTACCTGGAACAACCAGGAATGGAGCAGTATTACTACCCATGTGGCTATCACTACCCTTATTTCACCCACAGGATCTACCCACTGTCGGTAATAATTTTTTAGCCTATGGAGGCATAAGATCGAAATATGAGAGATCTCATCAATAAGAGCTGAATCAGCAAAAAAATTGGTCAGATTTTTAGTTGACTTATATTAGTACATGTTCCTGGGGATTATGATTTTTAACTTGATTAGCATTAGCAGGTCATTTCATTTTCTTAAAACAATTAAAAAGAAACTCACACACAATACACATACAAACAAGAGTTCTAGGAAAGATGGTGCTACCTTCATTGAAAGAACCACTCACTGAAAAGGTCAACCCAATAAATTCAATAAAAAAGTTAAAAATAAGAAAAAACAACAGCACTGAAGGCAAGCAGAGAAGTGAAACAGAGAAGAAATGGGATGCAAGCAACAATGGTAGGCACAGGGCAAAATATGATATGCTGGTCAGTTTAATTAACAATGGAACGTTAAAGGAATTAGTTTAAAACATTTAAAAACATTAAGTTCTGGACAATATAAATAAGGAAGAAGGGTGGAGTGTGTGGGTCCATGGGTAAAGAGTGATAAGAGCCTTGCCTTTAATGGAATTTACATGTCAAAATGTTTACACTTCATTAGAAAAACTAATAGTTATTGATGTATGTTAAAATTTAAGAATAGCTAACTATAAGAACAAAAATACAATTCAGAGTTTCCAAACCAGAAGGGTAAAAAAGGAAAAATAGAAAGCGTGATTGGCCAAAACCGGTTTGGCTCAGTGGATAGAGCGTCGGCCTGCGGACTGAAAGGTCCCAGGTTCGATTCCGGTCAAGGGCATGTACCTGGGTTGCGGGCACATCCCCAGTAGGAGATGTGCAGGAGGCAGCTGATCGATGTTTCTCTCTCATCGATGTTTCTAACTCTCTATCTCTCTCCTTTCCTCTCTGTAAAAAATCAATAAAATATATTAAAAAAAAAAAAAAAAAAAAAAGAAAGCGTGATTGCTCTAACAAAAGGTAAGGAGAAGAAAAAGGACAGCAAGTATAAAATGAAACACAAGTTAAGGGGGCAGAGATAAGTTGAAATGTTAATATATCAATAATCACAACAGACATAAATAGATTAAGCACATCTATTAAAACACAGCCAATCAGAAAGGTTTTTAAAAGATCTGGCTAGATAGTGACTAAAAGAAACAAAACAAAATTATACAGAAAGTTTGAAAGGAAGGCTGGAAAGAGATATCCAGGTCAATATAAAACCATGTAATATTAATTCAGACAAAATACTTAAGACAAAAAGATATAACAATCACTTATATGCACACCCAATAAAGAGCCTCAACGTCCCGAATTGGTGGCAGGCTGAGGCCTTATGGATGAGGACAGTCTTGGCTTCGGTGTCCTGTCACACTGCAGAGAACAGCAGCATCTTACAGCAGCATTCTTTGAGCTCACATTGGCTGTTGGGCCCTGTGCTGGGCGCTGGGGATACACTGAGGAAGAAGACACAGTCGCTTGAGGAGCTTACAGTCTACCGGGGGAAAGAGACAAGTGGTCAGAAAAACAATACAATATAGTGATGCAACGACAGACACAGACACACAGCAGCTGCAATGAGAACACACAGAGGGACATCTAGCCCAGCCTGGTGGGTGTCAGGAAAGGCATCCCAAAGCAGGTGATGCCCACACTGAGACTCAATGGTGAGCAAACGTTTCCCAAGAAAAAGGAGAGGGTATTTCGGGTAGAGAGAGTGGCTGGAGTTAAGGTACAGAGTGAGTCTATACAGGAATCACAAACAGTTCCAAGTTGCTGATGGGCAACTTAGGTCAGGAAGCCGAGGGCAGGAGATGAGGCTGCCGGTGGAGGCCAGGTACCAGATAATGGAAATGTGCTTGGTCCTGAGACACCTCCAGGGGTTACATTCTCAGAAGAGAGAGAGGCAGAGCATTCAGGAGCAGAGTTCCAGGTGGAGGAGCCTACGGGGCAGGGGCAAATGGTGGGTGCTGGGCGTTAAATGAAAACCGTGTCATTGGGACGGGATCTTCCCCTACCTCCCTGGCCTAGGCTGACAATATTACAAGTTACAGGCGTCTGGGAGGCTTCATTCTCTCCCTCAGGGGGGGAGCCCGAGTGGGCACTGGGACCTAGAAGCAGACATCTGAGGAAGGAGGAAGGAGCACTCTGATGAAACTGGAGGAATCTCCAAACCTGCCTCCCTTGCCAGCTTGAGTTCTGCTTCCCAGGAGAGCAATTTCCCATTAAGGAGGCTATGAAATGTGAATGTACATTAATCATTAAAGCCTCACAGATCAATTATAAATAAGAAACCTGCCATGCCCACAAAAAGGCAATCTCGCTGCCAATTCCATAGGTCAAACTGCCCGATAAATGAAATGCATGGAATAAAATGTATGACTGTCCTTCAATTCCCACCACATGCAGGAACACTGCTGCTGACAGGCTCCTTCACATGTTTAAGGCAATCACCTAATTCTATTAGCATAGGTCTTTCCCACATCTGCTTCTCCCTGACCCCCTCCCAGCCCACCCTGATGCTGAGCTAATCTTAAAACATCATGTCCCTAAAATAACCTCACGCTCAAAGACATCTATTGGCTCTGCACTGCTTATGGGCCCAGGCCCAACTCTGTGGTCCATAATCTGTCTGACCACTATTTCCCTAAACACAACGTTTGGCTCTGGCCAGTCTGATCTCTCCACACCCTGCTAGTTGCTCGAATCTACAGTCTCTAGAGGAGTGTGGCACGTCCTTGTGTGGGCCGCCCTCACACCCTGCCTGTCCTTCACAGGTGGAGTTCAGGCCTTCCACCTCCAGGAAGTCCCTCCCATCAGCTCCCCTGCATGGCCTCCTTTACCGACGGCTTTCAGCACTGGGTCTCCTCATTTTTTTCACCCTCACCCTGGCCCTTCACCACACCCTTACTCCCTTTAGTCATCAAATGAAATAATGTAGGTGAAAGAACCCTGGAAACAATAAAGCATTATGCCAAGAGAAGACGGACATTTCTGTGTGCACAACTCAGACTTGCAATCTAGGTATGGCGCAAACAGTAATACGGATAAAGATGCACAAAGAGGTTCAGTGCATTTTTATAATAGTGAAAAACTGGGGGAAAGTCTAAGTACAGGGGAGGATAATTATGAAATAAATCCTGCTACATCCATTAAAATTGCTTATAAATAATTTTTAACTATATGGAGAAATGCTAGCGGGATACATTTATTTTTATTTTTTTAATATATTTTATTGAATTTTTACAGGGAGGAAGGGAAAGAGATAGAAAGTTAGAAACATCAATGAGAGAGAAACATCGATCAACTGCCTCCTGCACGCCTCCTACTGGGGATGTGCCTGCAACCAAGGTACATGCCCTTGACCAGAATCGAACCTGGGACCTTTCAGTCTGCAGGCCGACGCTCTATCCACTGAGCCACACCGGTCAGGGCAAGCGGGATACATTTATAAAAAAATGCACACCTAGCACAGACATACAGCAATGTTTCTTTCTTGGAGGTGTTTAATATTCTTTATACTTTTCTAATGTTTCCACTTATTTTTTTCAGTGAGCATGTATTACTCTTCTCCGTGTTCATTTTTTCACAGATGGTTCCAAGTGGTTAAAAAAATACCGAAAGGATATAGAGTGACAAGTGCAAGTCCTTCCCACCCTTCCCCCATTCCTCTGAGGGGATCCCTTTACCAGTTTCTTGTATCTTCCTCCAGAGAGGCTCTCTTGGTCTGCGGTGAGAACTTAGGAGACGTCCGGTCCACCTTCGCGTGTGTGGGGGACTTAACAAGCGGGTGATGACTGTCCCCCCTTCTCCCCCGCCCCCTTGCGCGCACACCACTCACACAGGAAGCCTCACCTTATTCTCTGTGGCTGGCAATGAGTTCTGGCAGCAGGGCCACTAACGCAGAAGGCTGGAGATGGGCAAGCCCATTCCTCCCGGTTTTGGTTTTCATTTCACTCCCCTTTTTGTTCTCTTCTGGGGACTGTGGGTTTTATCAGTTATGACTCAAGAAGTAGGAAGGTGCTCAAAGAAGGTTCTGCCAGCCGTCCTCACTTCTGATGGCCACCGCTTCCCTGCTCTTATTTGTGGTCATCCACTGCCAAGTATACACAGTGGTCACAGGCCTGGGTGTAAGAAATGCTCGTGGGCACGAGTGGCCCCATAGAGTGGGAAACAGCAGAACTGGACCTGAGAGAAAACCACCAGTTCCTCCCTCGCTGCTTATGTCAAGGGGTGGGATCTGAGGGCTGGTCCCAACCCGGGAAACCCGAGAGAGGCAAGTTTTCTCACCAATCTCTCCTACCTCCCTTATATAACATATGACCCTGTTTTATTTTGTTTTCAATCACAAAGATAATACTTGTTCATTGTCAACATTTAAACAATACAAAAGTGGACAGAGAAAGAAATCCCTGTACCACTCCCTCTTCCCTACAACATAAGACATACTTAAGTTTAGCATAAATCTTTTTCGTTCCATTACTATACATATGCAAACATATAATTTGGGATTATTTTAAAAATAAGCATGAGCTTACCCTATATAATAAAAGCCCAATATGCAAACTGACCTAATGGCTGGTCGTTATGATGTGCATTGACCACTAGGGGGCAGACACTCAATGCAGGAGCTTCCCCCAACCTACAGACCCCAGGCCAGCCAAGGCGGGTGCCAGCAGGGGCCCCCTGATCATGCCACTGGTTGCCCCACAGATTGGCTCTGATCGCCGGCCAGGCCTAGGGATGCTACCCGTGCACGAATTTCATACACCAGGCCTCTAGTACATACATAATATTCCATCGTTCTAGGTGGCACATTTCTGGAATTGGAATTTCTGGGTGACCCTTTTCTCAGTGGGCTCTCTCTTCTCTCCTGTTCCTATGTGTCAGGGAAGTAGGCAGCAGCCATCAGTCAAGAACAGGTGGTTCCCAAATATGATATTCATTACTTGCTAGAAAGATACCCTTGCCCTCAAGGTGCTTACAATCCATTTGGGGAAAATGGGTGGATGGATAAATAAATGATAAAGGAATCACAAAATGATCTTAGGATCAGAAGGGCCCTAGAAGTAATTTATTCCAATATATCACTTAATAATTAGGAGGGAGGGCCATCTAGCTACGTAACAGGTTGGCCTTGGAGTCAAAAGATCTCGTTCTTGCCTGGCTGACATGGCTCAGTGGTTGAGCATCTACCTATGAATGAGGAGGTCCTGGTTCAATTCCCAGTCAGGACATATGCCCAGATTGTGGGCTCAACCCCCAGTCTGGGGTATGCAGGAGGCAGATGATCAATGATTCTCTCTCATCACTGATGTTTCTCTCTCTCTCCCTCTCCCTTCCTCTCTGAAATCAATAAAAATGTATTAAACAAACAAACATTCAAATCTTAGCCTCTTAGCACTCTGGTGTGTGACCATGGGCAGGTCACTAATCTGATAGTCAACTATCTCATCTGTTAAACAGGGATCTGAAACCTACATAAAAGGATTTTATGGGATAATTAAATGTAAGAAACAATGTTTATATGCCCAGTACAGTGCCTGGCATATAGTGGGTGCTCTGTGAACAGCAGAACCTCCAGTGAGATGGAAGCTGTTATAAGATGAGCAGTCCTTTCCATCACGGCAAGTGCCAGTTCTTCGAAAGTCCTTGCCTATGCAAAGCTGAAACCCACCTCCCACAGCTTCCAGCCAGCTGCCCTAGTGTCAGAAGGAAGATGTGGAACAAACACTATCAAAGGCAGAGGGGAGAAACCCAAGAGCAGAGGGACAGAAGTGGTCAGGAAGAGAAGGGCAACCCATGAAGGAGAATGTTCTTTGAAGAGCATCTGCACACGCCACCCTGCTTCTCTCTCTGCTGGCAGTGCCTCAGCTCTAATGGGCTGAGGAATGACTGGCCAGTGCGTGAACCAGGACCCAGATTCCTTGGCAGCTGGAACTGAAATTAATCGTCTTGTGGACATCTTTGGGTGTTTTCAACCATCTGCTGCAATGTGTATACACAATTACATGCTGGTTGTCAATAATAAAAATAATAATGACAGCTATTATTGGTTGTTATGAATTAGGTAATATATGCATTATTTTTCTTATTTTTTTAAATCCCCACTGGAGGATATGTTTATTGATTTTAAAAAGAGGGGGAGAGAGAGAGAGAGAGAGAGAGAGAGAGAGAGAGAGAGAGAGAGAGAGAGAAAAACATTGATGTGTGAGAAACATTGATTGGTTGCCTCCTGTATGCACCCCAACTGGATTGAGCCTGCAACCTAGGTATGCGCCCTGACTGGGAATCAAACCCATAACCTTTTAGTGTACAGGACGACGCTCCAATCAACTGAGCCACCCGGCCAGGGCAGCATTATTTCTTGAATCCTCAAAATAACTCGGTGGGCATGGCACTAATATTACTCCCTTTACACAGAGGAAAAATCTGAGGCTCAGTAGGTCAGTAATATGTCCAAGGTCACATTGCAAGGAAGTGCTAGAAGCGGGATTTGCACAAGGGACTCTTATGTCAACCACCATACTCTCAGCCACGACACTATCCAATTTCAAATTATCTAAGTTTTAAAAATTGGTACCCAAATGCAGAAACTGCCATAAGCCAAAGGTTTATTAGTGAGAAACCCAGGAGGAAGCATCTCAATTAGGAAGCATAAACGCTTCCTAATAAAAGCAACATTAGAATGGAGAGCAAAGCCTCCAAGCAGGACATGTGGCCAGCCTGTGTTCCATGCTCTGGCTGTCCAGCACAGCTGGCCCATACCAGGGACCAATTCTATGACACACTTCAAATTTGCCTTTCATTTTATAAAACCTGGTTCCAGGCTTTTTGAGCCTTTTTTGTTTGTTTTTTGGATTTTGGTTTTTATAGCAAAACCTTGTGTATCTTTGCTATCTTCATAAATGTAATCAGTGCTTTGTCTCCAGGCCCCTGACTTGGGCATTGTATAAGTTTTAAAAGGAACGTGTGACAATAGCATTTTCAAATTTAACTTTCAAATCCTTTGTATGAGGAGAGCCAATGGCATATAGTAAAGTTGCCATTGGGCCATCATTGATGCACAGACACAATTATGCAATTGGTATGCAGGAGGAAGGGGGAGAAAGTAGTATTGAGGAAAAAACTCAACCACATACATACTTCGATTTATACAATAAGCAACAAGGAACTTTTAATGTATGTTATATAAAAAATCAAGTGTCACTGAAATCTATAGGTTGGGTATTTTGTGTAACTGAATATTCTGGGCTGCAGTATATATTGGTAGGTCAATAATGACCAATTTTCAAAGATTACAGTGCCATAACTGCCCTAAGTATGACATAAAGTCAGGCAAGACACAACCAGTTTTCTTTGATGAGTCAAAATGCGCTTCTGGATCTTGCCAGCCTGAGGTCATCATTACAAGCAATGTTTGGTTGTGAAAAACTGCTTTCCTTATGTAACCTTTTGGATTGGATTCTGAGCTGGAGCAGTTCCCTGGGCTACGGTCAATCCACTGTGATAAACCACTCCCCTCCTCTCTCGGTTTGTAACTCTGGATTTCCCAGGTGGGACTGGCTGAAAGCAGGGTCTACCTGTATTCAAAGAAGATGGAGAAAGACAGGCCCAGCCTTCCTGTAAGGGAGGAGGCTTCAAGTTCATTGTAGTCACTGGTGAGTGGTTCTGAAATTGAGGAACTAGTTTGAGGAACTGCAGAACAAACAAAAAAAACCCAAACACTGGCCTTCCACGGAAAGCATGGAGGCACACGGTGCAGCTCCGCCCTTGGGCAGTGGAACCCTGACCATGGCCTCGTTTCAGATGCTGCCTAGCACACCCGGTGACGACAGACTGGCCTGAATAATCAGCTGGAGGATGTGAGCAGTTAGGGGTGCATTTGACATGTCCCTTTACAATAGAGGTTCACATTCTTGTCTCCCCCAGAAGGGAGAAAGGGCTTGGGACCTGTGGTATGACAGAACATTCACAGAGGATCTCAGACCAATTCCTTGGTAAAGGAGGGAGAACCATGACATAGCCTGTGGTTCTCTCATCCTTTCTCGGGACAGCAGGGCCTAGGAGGAGTGTGGATTCTGGTCTTGCACTTTCACTCAATAACAAATACTGAGCCAGGGGCTACCATGCTCTAGGTCAGCCGTGGGCAAACTACGGCCTGCGGGCCGGATCTGGTCCGTTTGAAATGAATAAAACTAAAAAAAAGAAAAGACCGTACCCTTTTATGTAATGATGTTTACCTTGAATTTATATTAGTTCACACAAACACTCCATCCATGCTTTTGTTCCAGCCCTCCGGTCCAGTTTAAGAACCCATTGTGGCCCTCGAGTAAAAAAGTTTGCCCACCCCTGCTCTAGGTACTGTGCTGATCAGAGAGAAGCGATGGTGACCTGGACAGACAAGGTCCTTGCCTTCACGGAGCTTGCTCCGTTGTAATCCTGGAAAGGCCTTCCTGGAGTGCTGAACCCAGTTACTAAGAAGAACTGTCGCCTGGCCAGCATGGCTCAGGGGTTGAGCATTGACCTATGAACCAGGAGGTCACAGTTTGGTTCCTGGTCAGGGCACATGCCCAGGTTGCAGGGTCGATCCCCAGCATGGGGTGTGCAAGAGGCAGCCGATCAATGAGTCTCTCTCATCATTGATGTTTCTCTCTCTCCCTCTCCCTTCCTTCCTGAAATCAACAGAAATATATTTTTCTTTAAAAAAGAAGCATTGCCATGGATCAGGCACAGACCATCTGCCTACGGATCTGTCTCAGAGTGGCACCAAGCACATGGGATTTGCTAGTCTGGTCACTGCCCTCTCAAAACCAGCCTGGAAGACCAGGATAAGTCTGCCATGTCTTTAATAGCTGGCTACTCATGGTCTACGTGCCAACACCACTGCAGATGACTCCTTTCCCCCAGAGTGCTGAGGTTTCCACATGGTTCTCAAGCTCTTATTCCAAGCTAAACAAGCAGTACAAAGCCCCAAGATGAAAGAAATGCTGAGAGCGTTCCTGCCCAGACACCTGCAGAATGGGGAGGGGTGCTCTTCCCCTCTGAGGAGCTCTGTGTGTGAGTTAGAGCTGGGTGAGGCTGGCAAAGGAGGGCCATGGCGCGTGGTGCCTTCTTTGCTCCT